AATCTCCTCGGACAATTTCAAGAACTGTATTTTATGTAAATCTTAATATTTTATATTATCAGTATTGTATTTCTAACCTTTTAGGTAATTTTAATTACGCAGGGTAGGGTAGTACATATATATAGGGTCAACTATACGGGGCAGGATTACATATTTTATGCGTTTTATATATATTAGGTTAGTTTAGGTGTCTTTATTTAGTGGGAAACTGCTATTGATTTGACACATTAATAAAGTTTATTATTATTATTATTATTATTATTATTATTATTATTATAATTATAAAACATAACAAAATCAAGGCGGCCGCTGCAGGAATTAAAAGGACCGAAACTTGCAGTCCTCATCGGCCAAACCACAAAAGGGCGTGAAAACGAGTGATATTTGAACAAATCCTTTTTTAACATCCCCTGCCGAATGCATTCGGGAGTGCATTCGTTAGCGATGAAGAAAAAACTTTGGGGATACGAAAACAGTCCTGTCTCGTAAATAAAACGAGTATTATCAACAGTGTCTGCTCTAAAATTTAAATCACCTTCTGACGTTCACTGCGACGTTATCCATCCTCTGGTATATATTTCAGAGGGCATCAGCGGTGGACTGGACGTTGAAACTCATTGTTGTTCACTTTGACCTTTACAACTCTGACAAGGCGGTCGCCGCTAGCGTACGCCTCCACCACCCGTCTCAGGGGCCATTCTTCTCGCTTTGTGTTGGGCTCAACGTCTAGTGCTACATCACCCTGCTTCAGGTTGTGTTTCGGATGGAACCACTTTTTCCGACCATTTAGACTGGGGAGGAATTCCTTCTTTCATCGTTTCCAAAACTGGTTCATTAACTGTTGAACCCGTCGCCAAGGCTTCCCAGGGTTGTAATCCTACTCTGATAGTGCTTCAGGGGTAAATACACCACCGACTTGTCCAACGAGGAAATGGTACGGAGTTAGTGGGTACATGTCGTTGTGATCAGCGCTAATGTTTGTTATAGTTCTTGAATTTATTAAGCGTTCCGCTCCAGTAATAGCTAGCTGTGTGCAGCTCTTCGTCTATGGCATTTGAGTTCCCTAGAAGAGCTTTTTACCATGGCTTCGAACACACCCCTCCAGAGTGGAGTGTACGGGAAGAGTTGAGCTTGCAGTTGATACGACCATAAACTGCCGTGTCGCGAGCTTTTTTGTCTCGATTCAAGGCTTCTGCGAGCTGTCTTAATTCCCGCTCTGCTCTTACGAAGTTGGCTCTGTTGTTTGTAACGACGTAAATTGGTGTCCCCCTTCTCGCTGTCGTCCTAGAAAAAGCGTTTATGAATGCATCAGTGTCGAGGGAGTACGCCATTTCCAAATGCATCGCTCTCGTAGTAAGGCATGTGAGCAGGCGTAGGTACCATCTCGTCTTCGTCTTTCCACGCCCTTGTTTCGTCAGATAAGGCCCTGCCAAGTCAATTCCAGCTCGTTCGAACGCTTGAAGAGAGCACGTCACTCTTGACTTCGATAAATGGAGCCATCGTTTGACCTGTTGTCTTCATAGAAAAGCGTCGGGATGTTCTACTGTTTTTGAAGTCATTTAGGAGTTCTGACTCATTTAGAGTAGAGCAGTGTTAGAAAAATGATAGCTACTGCGCGTAAACAGCAAGAAATGTGTAGAATTAACGGAGTTTACTGGTGAATTCGCCCCATTGCAGGTTTATTCCCCCATCACTTTTGCGAGTTCACCCCTAATGTAAAACGGGTTTGCATCCACTTTTACCAATTCGCCCCTGCATCTTTGGACTCGTTTCCCTACCACAGAAAATATTCGTTTCCTGTAGAAGTCATGATATTTTTTCGACCAACATGCAGCAGGACATGGGCGTCAGAGTTGCGAATTCGTAAAGTTGATGGGGCGAACTTGCATTGGGGCGAATTCAGTAGTTACCTTCCGCTTACAGTGGCCTATTCGCTGATGTTTTTTTTTTTCTTTTGTTTGTTTGGTCAGGGTATGAATTATGGCTTAAAACATCTGGATGTCAGCTGGAACTGTATAAGGTTCAAGGGTGCCGTAGGGATGGCACAGGGCTTGAAGGTAACTCATATTTGCTATAGAAAGTTCGTGTAAAGCTCACCTTTCTATGACTCAAGACCCATTTTAGACTAGATCGCTGTTCCACAGACGTTGCACAGATATACAGATACACCGGTACCCTGGAACGAGCAGAAGGCTTAATGGGTGCCCAACATCGTTTTTGTAGTTCGTGATTTGAGTTCGTAATTTTAGCGATTACGTTGCAGGGAAGCATGGGAAAAACACGAAAAATGACGAAAACGTGCTCAGACAAGTTCCCGTGTTCGGGCAGGGAGCCTGAGTACTACTGAGAGGTAGTTCCTTTGCTGGGCACCGTGCTAAGATTTATGCTTGGGCACCAACAGAAAGCTATGCTCAGACAGAGCCCGTTCCTAAGAACTGGGTACGGGAACCTAGTCTCAACGTGGCCTAAGTAATTTTTTAAGGTGTATGAGCTGATTATTACCTTTCTAAACTCACTTTAGGACTCTGAATTGCCTCCTTCCAAATAGAAAAGTATTAAATCTCCCAGATGTACTGAACTGTTTTATTTGGCCTTCTAACCCCAGACAAAAGATTGTCTAGCTCATCTAAACATATCCTGGAATGGCCTATCCTTGCTGGGTTGTGTTGCATTGGGAAGATTCTTAAAGAAGAATGAAGCTTTGGAATCACTCGACATAAGGTATCAGTTAGTGAAGAGATTCAAATGAAGACATGTTGACAATGTTAGTGATTAGAATTTCGAAACATTATTTTAATACACCGGTTGACAAAGGGCACTTTCTTTAATTATCACCTGTAGTAACAATCGTATCGGACTACTGGCAACACAAAAGCTAGCCCTTGGCATTGCTGCTCATCCAAATCTCAAGGTTCTTAAGGTAAGAGAGAAAATCGCCGTTCTTCTTTTGTAAGCCTGCATAAAGATTTTAAACTTAAAACGATCACAAACATATTTTAAGAAAAATTCCCAGTGTTCAAAAGTAAGTTTTTAACCAATTGCAACAAGTTGAAAGTTACAGCCAATTCGTGCAATGTAATGCGCAATTCCACTTAAAAGACTTCATCGGCCCTTACAAGACTGATTGAATTTGTTGGACCGACAAAATGAAAAAAATAAGGAGCTCCTCCATAACCAAAATTCACCATTTCGTGCTCTCCTAGAAATGGAAGTTTTCAAAGGTGTTTGTATACTGGGCAATGTCGATTGAGCGTCGATTACAGGATTGCAATGGGTTTGCTTTAAAATGCTCTGTGATTGGTCCAGAAAACTCGTACCACTCTCTCAACCAGTCAAATGCAAACCTAAGACCAATCGCGACTTCGTCATCCGCGTTTTTCGGCGCCTCAGGCAGTTAGCTATGATTGGCTCCTGGAGGGACTTCCCATTGTTCTGATCGGCTTTTGTGATAATTAGTACAAGTAATGCTTTTACACAATTAAAATGCACTTTATGTTGCAAGATTCAAGAATATGTGTTAAGGTTTTCGTACCGAGGTTTCGGTGTTTAAAAGCGGTCTTAGTTGTTTTGATTTTTTACAGATCGGTAAAAATCCAATAGGCGACGGAGGTGTAGAGACACTTTTAAATGTCATTAAAGCTCATCGAACAATCAAGTTCTTGTCTCTTGAGGTATGCTCACTTCGTTTTGACACAAACGAATAATGTAATTAGTTTTTAAGGACCCGTTTAGCTGTAAAGGTAGAAAAATTAAGAACACCTACTGGATTACCAACGTGCGGTGATGATGGAGCTCGACTTCAACCGTAATAGCTGACGTATTGTGCATCGGCGCTTCTTCAGTTCAGCGAGTGTGTTGACCAAAATCGCGAAAGAGGGAACCTAGGAAGGTTAAACAAGAGCGAGTTGACCCATACTCTGAGACACATTCTTAGGGACACCTATTTTTCCCCCCTGCCTCTCTCAATGTTGATCTGTAAGATGGAATAAAAACATTGGCAATTAACAATAATGGAAGGGGGAGATGGCGAAAAACAACACACCTTATTCTGGAGAAGTCTCCCGGCTAATTATGTCTGGGAGTGAAAGAAGGTAGAGAGTTTGACCGAGCGTTTGGACGGGTTGAAAAAAGGATAGTTAGCTTGTAGGAGAGGTTTCTGGTATTTCATAGGACTCCAATGGGCGTCGTGGTTGACTTCAAATATAGAATAAGCGTAAAGTAAGAGAGCCACGAAGGCATCCCCTGCTAGGGTTCGAATAAACGGAATTTGAGTTTTAGATTTCATCGCTGCCAATTTTAATTCATTTTCTCACTTCTTGTAGGACATCACTGTATCTCCTAAAATATACGATGAAATAAAAGAGATTGAGAGAGAAAAGGGTGTCACTATTGTTACAGGCGGTATTGGTGGCTACAAGAGACCCAAGGTTTGTACCCCTATTTCATTGTTTTTGATTTGTATGTGCTTTTATTATCGCGGTGAAAGGCTTGTCACCATCACCGTTCTAAAGTGTCTTCCACATATCAAATGCTGCCCGAAAATCTAATGGAAAAGTGATGTCTTGATTCTTTGGAGCTCTATAAGATCCAATCTCGTCGATAAACTCCGCTATTTCTAAGGTCAGCATTCAGAGCAAGGTTCCAAAATATAAAATTCATGAAACTCACAAAAAATTTGGCTACTTGATACAGGGTGACCAGCCAGTTCTGATAGAAATCGCCCCTACGAAACTTAAGTCAAAATACTGGCTTAAGTTTCAAATTTGAAGGACTTCTCTATGGGATCATCATAGCTGCCTCGGGAAATAAACACTTCTTATACGTAGGTCATTGAGTCTTTTACCAACTGGAATTCATATTTACGAAAGAAGTATCGCACAAATAATTCCTGTTTTTAATATCAAGAACCAACTGACGTACTATGTTACTTTCTTTGTATCTGTACTTATTCTAAGCATTATGATAAAGGTCGTTAACATAATCTGATATCAGCCATAGACCTAAGTACTGATATCTTAATAGACCTTTTTTAGACTATGGTCGTTTTTCTTTTTTGATTAGTTTGGATATTTCATCCGTGGTGCTAAGTCTTGTTAAAGTAAAGAAGCCTAATGATTCGGTTTTCTTTACGGCCTTCAAGAATACTTTTTCATCAGTTCCGGCGATTCTTAAAAGTTTCGGCTCTTTTCCGGTTTTTTGATTTAGACTTCAGTGTGACGACGCCAGGCCTCGAGAAAACTGAAACACAATTGACTCGTGGTATTCATTGCGTCAAACCGCAGGACAATTCTAACGATAGGTGACGGCAGTGCGTTTTTTTTTTTTTTTTCAATATAACACACTCTACTGGCGCCAAAAACATCTTAACCTTGCGATTTTAAGGGCCCATATGCTGTGCTGGTTGCGATGTAGGATACTTTTCGTTTATTGTTAGCAAGAAAAGAAGTCATATCGGCAGAGTAAAGCACCGGTTGTAAGAGGCGGGGGGGGGGAACATTCCCTTACTCGGCCTTAATGGGTATGCTCCACAAACAGGGTATGGTTTCGGGATTTTGAATCCCATGAACAAGGTATCCTTCAAGACAAAATGTTTTGAATATAACGAAGTGGTGCTGCGCGGTCAATATGGCCTTTACTAGTACATGTATTTTGTGTTTTTTTCGGTTTGATTTCAGATCTTTCGTCTGACCATGCTAGAAGGAACTCCCTATAAGGTTTCAAACTTTTTCTCGAGCGCACCCCCCCCCGTTATAAAGATTACGTAACATACAACGTTGATTTGCCGTCATCATATGGAATTGCCAGACTCCTGCATCGTGGTCTGTCCACCTATTTTTCCAATTCATACGAATTCCATCTGTATACATTATTTTTTAAGAATTGCCCATTGATGTCCTTGCCTTGGTTTCTAATGGTCACTCTTTGAGTCATTCTACAGTTTTAAGCTGTCTCTTTAAAATTTGGTCAATTTTGACGAGTGCCCTTAAAATGACTAATGGCTATTGTTAAGCCGAGAGCACTTCTCATATCTTAGGAAACATTATTTTTAAATTACCTTGTTTTACGATTCGTGACCTCCATTTTCATACCATGAACTTTAGACGAGATAGTATATAATTAAGTGGTGCAATTTTAAAAAATATTGCTTTGCTAATCATAACGCTATGACGAATGAAATACGTTTCAAAGTGTAGGAAATATACTGGTATTTTATCTGCACATGACATCGAGTATTGGCATCAAACTTTGTTCTTAGAACAGTGGTCACATTGACGTTGGAGTTTCGAGAGGAGCCACTCCGACTCACAACTAATATATTTTACCATTATTCTTAATTTGCCTGCGTCCAATTGTGTTGCGAAACACGCTACCTTTTACTTGTGTTAATGTGCGGTAATTTGGTCCAAAGGCTCGAATATATTTCATTTTAAGACAGTGAAGTTCCATTGTTTCGTAATGAACCTACTTTTATCTTTGCCCTGTAATAAAGCGAGTCCTCGAGAATCGTCACATTAAAAACTTCCTTAAAAAGTACCATTTGTATCGGTTGTAATTCGTATCAGGACAAAAGTTTTGCACACTTGGTGGTTACTGAATTCATAAGGAGTCTATATGGTGCAACGTTCTTTGAAATGAGTCAAAATAATTTCCATTTATTCAAGATCTTCTAGATTCAGTTTCCCTTCAAGAATACCGCTTCTTTTTCCAAGATACTTACCGAAAAAATTTGTCACCGTATGGCGTCACATGTATTGTGAAGCTCAGCTTCTTTATGTGTACTTTTTATTCTTGATTTTGTATTTGCGTAGTTTTTGAGTTGAATAGCATCACTTAATAATTGTTGTTGTTTTTTTTTTAATTGTCTTTTAATCTTTCAGGAAATGCCCCCTGGGATGCGTATACTGCTTACTTTCATTCAAGATAACCGGCTTCGCCTGGTTGACTGGTTTAACCAGTTTGACAAGGACCACAGTGGCGGCATTTCTCGCGAAGAGTTTAAGATCGGGCTGAAAGAGACTGGGCTTGTGATGACGCAGGTATCATTTTCGATTTATTGGTTTTCTCGTCTGTTCTTGTCTCGTTTGTTCCCATACACATAATTATTTCATACCCACATTTGTGCTGCTGTCTTCTTTTACTGCAGCGGCAGCTTGATCGTTTGATCGACTTCATCGATATTAATGACGATGGTGAAATTGAGTTCAGGTAACTGGTTAATAACATTCTCTAATAATGAATCGGATAATCACTTGGTCGCTCAGTGAAATTGTTCTGGAAAGGCCCAGGACTGTTTTTTCCTGAGACTGACCGGCTTCTCTAGAGATCATCATAAGAGTCAAGAAAGAGTCATTCGGGAAACAAAAGCAATCGCAATGGCCAATCAGAATGAAGGAAAATACCCCAAAGAGCCAATGAGAACTCAAGGTAAATTAAGCAAACTGCCTAAAGCGCGGGAAAACGCGGGTGGCCACGTTGCGATTGGCATCTAATTGGTTGAGAGCGTGGTGTGATATTTCTGTCCAAGCACAGAGCAAAGTAAAGCAAAACTATTGAATTCCCGGATCACTTTCAAGACTTATTCTAGCTTGGTAACTGTGTTTCTCTCGTTTCCACCTGCAGTGAACTTATACGAGGCCGTGAGATTACGATACAAGAAATTCGCCAAGAGAAAAAAATTGAAGAAAGACAGAGAAAGTATGACGAGGAGCGCATGCGCCTGCCTAAACTAGAAGGCTACGATTACGACCTTATGTAAAGAGGCAACTTAGAGACCGGTACTATGCCCGTGGAAAATGTTCAGGTCTGTAGATGCATCAAGGGAACTGAGACTGGCAATATTTATTGTACAGAAGATAAACAAGAAACGTGTCATAAGGGAAGAGATGCTGAGTTAAACCGTGACCTGACATACCACAACTATAAATGTGATCGTAGTTTTTTGTAAGGGGAATGTCCGAAACATAGCTCGGAGATATTCGTAAGAATTTCATATACTTGGCAGTCTAACAGCTAATCTATGGTCAAGGACTGTTGACTCTGTAAATGTGCTCTTTTACTGACATTCAGTTTAACTTCATTATTTTTCCCACTCAACTTCATTTATTACTGTCAAATATATTCTTACGTGCTCTTAAAAAGACGAGTTGCATTTTAAAAGAATTGAACTGTTGATGACTAATTTATTTGTGTGAAGCTCATTTGTATTGCAAAAGATAGCGATTAAAGGCAAAGAAAGCAATTGTCATTGAATTGTTATCCATGTTATTGATGAAAGTGTAGCAACAGTAAGTACCGGTTATTAATTAATTACTGTAATTGTATTAAGAAAATTTGTGAGGTTGACGATAGGGATCAAACGAACTGATGTTGCGTGGAGAAGAAAACCAGCGAACCTTGTGAGATACTCTCAGACTGAGACAAGCGGCCATGAGCCACAATATGTAAATCGTTCAAAGTTATCGCGATCCCCGATCACTGAACTCAGTGGAAAGCAGGGTAGGTAAGTAATGTCTGTATTCAAGCCAAGTTGCCCATTCAGCTGGAGCTTATTCCGAAGCGACTAGGAGTATGACTACCCCACCCCCCCCCTCTTGAATGTCAGTTCATCGCGAGGTACCCATTCACTCTCAGGGATGGAGAGAGGCATTGTCCAAGAACGCAACAGAATAAGTCGAACCCAGACCTCTTGCCCCGGAGTCCAGCTCACTAACCGTTAAGTCTCCTTGTCTCGCAGTGGAAAACGAGCGTTAGTACTATTTGACCATCTCTACTTTGGCTTCTGGTGCACAATTTTGCTGAATTCATCATTTGTAACAAGTTTTGCGGTAGTCTTGTCCGAGCTCTGATTTTGTCTCAGCTCCCCTCCAGGGGTGGTGGTTCATCGGCAACGTTTTCTAAGGAAGTGCTTCTCTTATAGGTTGAAGCTATCACCATTTGCGGCCCACTTTTGGACGAGAAGGGTGTAATTCTCGCATATCTTCCATGAAAATGGCACCTCTTTCTTAGGCAGATAAGCTTACAATACATTAGCCATTGCCACGTAATCGGTTTGAGGAAAAGAGCGACAATTGAAAATTATTGTAATTCAAAAAAAAGAAAAAAAAAAAGAGGTAAGCGCTCTTTCGCTCCTCTCCATTGAGTGCCTGCGCGTGAGCCTTGTTTAGACTGGCCATACGTCTTTTTCTTCGTACTTCGAAACAAACTGAAATAACACAATTAAGGCAAATTAAGAACGTTTTGCTTCACTACAAAATGAGCGAGTTCCACTCTTCCTTTAAAACCTAATATTCTAGGAACTAGCCACAATTCAGGAGCCACCACTAATTATGTGGCAACCCATTATATAATCTTTTGCCTTCACCGACCTTACCACAGCTTTAAGTTTTACAATCCATTTCCCCTGGAGCATGCCCAGGGGAAATGGATTTGTTTGACATTTAATGCAGAAATCGATTTATGACTTTAATGTGTGTGCTCTTTTTTTTTTTATTCTATTTTCATGAGCTCTCACAATGAAGACCTAGAATAATAATGATAATAATAATAATAATAATAATAATAATCCATTCATGATATAGCGCCTTTTCTACAAGATTCAAAGGTGTTGTTTACAAAAATTTGATAAAGCTAGAAAGTAAATTGACATTAAAGGTAGAAAGTAAATTGACATTTGATAAAGCTAGAAAGTAAATTGACATTAAAACTAGGCGCTAACTACACACTAGATAAATGTACACGATAGATGGGAACCATTTATTGATTCATAAACATCACGATTCATAAGCTCGAATAAAAAGTCGCGCCAACCTGGGCGAGGTAATGAAAGGAGAGCTTAGAGGAAAAATGAATTCCCATATTGCACTTTACTCGCTGGGCTCAGCTTACTACTCCTGCTTTTCAAACTGAAGGAATGCAAAGCTGCATGAAATCCCTCATTGCTTTACGTCATTCGGTATTGGACCTAAATGTTGTTCTCCGGCGCTGCAGGAAACACGTCAGAGAGATCGATGCAGTAACTTGCTTTTTCCTTGTGGGTTTTTTTGCGGCAAGACTTGTCAGATTTCTGTCTGCAATGGAGATTCAGAGCGTATGAGAAAGTTATCATTAAATCAATTGGGACATGATTGTTTTTGTTTTTATGTTGCAGGAGAGGTTGCGCCTTAATGAGCTTCGAGTGTTTGCTTTTATTGATGAAGGGTGTAGTCACGCGATGATCACAACCTTGAACCCTTTTCACGTCACAAAGTTCAGGGAGATACGCTTAAATTATCGCACACACCAAGAGGAAAATGAAGTGGTGACGGAATGACTCAGCGAGGCGTGATGTGGGTGTCACAAATGATTGTGTGACACAACGTACATATTTTTTTTGCATCGCTAATTTTTTCGCTGAGGAAAATTAATATAAAGAGAGGGTTTATATTTGGAAAGGATATTAGAGAAGTCATGCAATAAAATGAGAAACACCGTAATTTGTAATCCATTTTGGATCAAGTAGATATCAACACGGATTACTTCTTTTCTATGCGAATATACACAGATAAAAAGCCCAGAAATGATAATAAACAAAATAAGAAAGACAAAACTTACTAATATAACAAATCAGATCATAGCGAAAACTAATGGCAAATGCATTATGAAATGGTTGTCGTGGCGTTATCCTTTGTATTAGCGACGAATATATCACCACTGTCTGGAAAGAAAACGTGAATGGATAACAATTCAACTGATACCATCTTGTTGGGCTTGATGTATGTCATTTGAGCTTGAACTTATTATCAGATGAACTTGAGCGTATTGTATGCGAGACCTCGTTTTCTTACTTTCTTTCTTTTTTTTTTCATCATTCCTATATTTTTTTATATTTATATACACACTCGTATATGTTGGTCCTCCAAGAACGTTATAGTAATCATCAAATTTTTCGGTTGTGTTTCAGCGGTTTTGCTCCCAATACGCGTTAATTAAAATTGGCAAAAATGGTAAATTCCAATGAACGCTCGATTTGAGAACAGGCGACTTTTGGACACCGGCCTTGAACCGATCATTAATCTACTTTGCACGATCAAATTTAAGTGATCTGACCAAAAAAATGAATATTTAATATGTTTTTACCCGCCTGCTATGCACGCAGTAAGTGCTCATTTTTGTTATGCAAAAAGCTCTTCTTCGTGGAGATTAGAAATTAGCGATACCACAAAGAAATGATGAATTGTTAGCGTGACACTCAATTTTGATTGGGCTATTCTCGTGAATGACATCTCCGTCTACCGTAAAAAGCTTGCACATAATAGCGGAAAACCATTTCCAATGGCGGATTTTGGAAGTGGAAGCGACCGCTTTGCTTGAAAGATTTATCGTTTCTTGAATTTATTGAACTAAAGGGTGTTTTAAGAGGCAAATACCAGTTAGTGCAATATGACGTCGAAGGAATATCCGCCGAGAGTGGTAAGCTGAAGTTGTTTATGATTTCAAACTGTGAAGCGACCAGAACTGTAAAGTCATTCTCCGATATCTACGCCGAGAATGAGAGACGGGAGAAAGAAGCTTAATTATTGTTTTAAGTGTCTCTGATCTTCATTTTTTAATAAACTGGAAGGATATTACTATGGGGATCTGATAAAGTCTCCCCTAGCCAGTGATATTGCTGTGCCGTCTTCTAGTATTTCTGTTTCTTTCGTGATAGTGTGCTCTTTTGAAACCGGTAGCAGATGTTCACTTTAATTCTTGATTTTAGGCCTCTGAAGTTGCCGTAGACCCTCATGCACTGGACGTTTTTCATGCCCAGATTGAAGATGTTGAAATTCAAGGTAAAATTCTCTGAGTAGCACCAAGATAGGTCATTGTGAATTTATGAATAATCAGCACGAAGACAGAATTTCGTCGTTGAAAAATATTGATAAGATTGCTTGTAAGGAATGCTTCCAAGTCATCAAGTGCCCAAGATTGTGTTAAAAGGCTCGTCTTCATATAAAAATCTCATTACAGCCGTGGCAGATATGAGCTTAAGAGATTATTTTTGCTTTGTAGAATGCGAATTTTAAAGCTAGTGCAATAGCAACAGAACAAACGTTCGATATTGGCTTCTTCAGAATTACCCAAACAATTACAAATGACGCGGTGAAGTTTAGTATTGTTCCGTACATTGCAGAGTATTTCAAATTACTCAAAATCTCGATTGACTCCACAACATCACTACATGGAGACATTTATTTCGTCGCGTCTTAACAACTAGGAGTCTAGTGATATTGAGAGTGACTGCCCGTTCCTTAACTGATTGAAGACACGGTTTTTATCATGCGGATCGTTGTTTAAATTATAAGTTGATCTGACATTGTCAAGGAATGACTTGGACAACAGCGGTATTTTCACTGTGAGCATTGACTGAAAGCCGGCCCAATGGGTATCGCGAGACTCCATCAGCTGGTTAGCTCAATATCGGTTACCTCCGTGAAACTAAACTTTCGTAGATTTGTGACGTCAGTTTCTCAGTGAGAGGCATTTGTGTAATCCGGCAGAAGGTTATTACTCTCGAAGATATGCTATATCAGAATGCGTCTTTGTTATGTTTGTAAAATTGTACCGCAATTCTCATTCTATACCACTAGTGTTGGTTTGAGCGTTCGTGGTTGCTCAGTTCGTGGTTGCTCAATGATTACTTTCAATAATTCATATTGTCACTTTGGGTTGGAGTACTTCTTGGTTCTTCTTCAGATGAAGTTTCTCTTTTTGAGATGAATAAATCGGAGTAAATCTTTCGCATTTCACTCTCACGGCTGTAGAATTCTTGTTCTGGTCTACCCTTTGAATTTTTTTTTTTTTTTTCGCAAAAACAACCAAAACCCAAGAATGTTAAAAAGATTAAGATAAATTAAACAAAGACATTTCAATCTCGCAAATTTGACCAATGGAGTGATGCATGATGGAGCCTTTACTTACTCCCAAGGGAAGGAAAATAATTTGAGCTACGCGTCCATTTTAAGGAAGCTACAACACTTAGCACCATGTCGTGTACACAAGGGAACTAGGAAAGCTAAAAATAATCTTTTGTGCACATAAACATGTTTGTATAATGTTATTATATTGTTGGATATATCTGGACGTGTTTCAAAGTAATAATTGACAGTCTCTTTTAGTCTTTAATCTGGTAATCGACAACTTGTTCGCTTTCTTAGCGTGACATAAGTACAGGTCTTTTTCACCTGTTTTTCCATTTTTCGATTAAAGAAAACAAAATTTACATCCTCGACTCCGAATTCCTTGTTTCTTCCAACTACTGTTGAAGGTTCGAAGGTAAATGCTTTCGTCCCATGCCACCTGCGCAAGTAACGCGAATATAGACTCGCCATTTGATGTTCACGTGCAAGAGCTTTGTCAGTGGTACAGTTTAGCTCGAATACTCACTCCGTGAAAACAATAAAATGTTCAAGTCCTCCTTAGGTAATTTTTGGCCGCACAAGTAACTTTTGCAGCAAATTTTCCGTTTAAAACTTTGCAAAATTTATAATTATTTGCAAGTGCAAATAAGATATAAACACTTGACACAAATATCACACGACTATTCCCAGACTTCCTGAGCTCTGGATAAAAACGCGACGCGCACGCAATCGAGATTTAAACAGAAAAGTGTGAGGGCCGTGGAATCATGGAAATTCGGCAACCGGTGAATAGCCCAGAATTTTTTTTGTGATCGCCCATTTTGTGATCACGCAGAAATTATAACTTTCGTTCTTTCTCCTAGAGTTACGATAGTATTCCCGGACCCGTTGACGCAGGAATATCCAGTAGAAATGGCTACTTTGGAGAACTCGACTATCAAAGTACGCGCGAATAATCGAATTTTTTTTGCCGGAAACGCGCACGCTAGCCGCGCACAGAAATTTTTACATGCAAGAGTACTTTTATTACTTGTTGATCGCACATCTAAATTATGTTGATTTTCATTACAGATCATCGTCAGGTTTATGTAGGAGTTCATATTCCTCTGCGACAAAGGAAACACCACCACCATCAGCGCCATCATCACCGACGCAGACACAGGTCCTTACTCGAATCCAAAGATGAACTCTCGTCAGGTAGATATTTTTTTGTTTTAGAGTTCTTTTTACTACATTACGTAATGCAAAATGTACCCGACTTTGTTTTTTTATTTGTCGGGGGATAGCTCACTGCTTTGGGGTCGAACAGGGTTGAAAAGAAAAGCGAAAACCTTTTAAGCGAGCAGTGTTTATATCGTACAAGCGTGAGTTCCTTGAAGCTTGTTTTCTGTTAAAGGTGCGAAAAGAGTATTATTCAGAGAAATTTGTAGTAGCGTTACAAAAAGTTTTGATTATTATAACAGAGTGTTTTTATCATCCTCGTGTCACGAGCTTTAAAGCTGTTGTTATTTTTACTCTGGCAACTTGCATGTAGTGATCGATCTAAATTACGCAACGATCGATAAGCCAAAGAATTGTGAAGGTTTTATGTTTCGTGCGAGCTGGCAGAAATCGTCAATCCAAAATATGTATTCGTGCCGTGAATCCTGCGTGCAAATTCATATTGTAATTTTTTCTGGCTCGGAATATCGTACTTTTTTAACGACGATTTTGCTATCAACTCAAGTTCCATTAACTGAGGCATGTGCTTCAATATATATATATACCTGTATGTATATATACGATTCACCTTGGTCAAGTACTCGTCCTATTTCGTAGTATTTTCGAGAGCAGTTTAAAAACCAAATACTGATGATTAATGTTGTCTGTATTGAAGTCTCCACTCACCAATATCACTGCATAGAAGGCTTGAGAAATGTGCTCGTGTATTTTTGAAACCCGATGGAACCAATTTTTTTTTAGTTCAATACTGGTATGTGTTAAAGTGTAATATTCATAAATCCTTGATTTTTCAGCGAATTTTAACAAAAATTTCCAGATGATAACCTATTGAGGAAGTCTTTAGACTGATTAGTATTTGAGAAACATGACAGAGTCTAAAGTTATTTTTTTTTTAACATTGCCGTACAATTTTTGTTTGACTCAAAGAGCTTCTAGCTGTAATCAATTTAGTTTACCTCCCCATCACCTTATGACAGGTCATTTGAATAATCCGTCATTGTTAAAATTACTTGGCCCTCAAATGGTTAACTTCCATTAGCAGTAATAACTTTTCATTGTAATTTTAAAATACCAGTTATGCCCAGGCTGTGTATGTGCAGTGATGTTTTTAACAGTGGGATGATTTTGGTCATAAGTTAATTGACTGGAATAAATTACTGCATTGTTTTCAATTGACGACTAACCGCATCTCAAAGACCCACAATTTTCAATGTGACATTAAAAATTTTGGTCTGCTTCTATTTCTGTCAGTACATTTTTAGCCTCATTCTGTCAGCAATATTTGGCTGGAATTTGTGCAAACACCCACTTTCCATAAAATTTTGTTTCCTTGTGTTGTTTTAAAATCTCCAAATGGGGTAGGATGTTGATGTGTATTAAATGCGTATTTCAGTTGACAAAAGAGATTTTGTTTAGCCTATAATAAACATCAGCAATTCTTCCACTGAAATGAATTTACAATTTTACAGGACTGCAACCCTAAACAGGTTATTTATAGTGCTTAAGCTCTTATTCTTTCTAATTGAACCGTCTTGAGATAATCTCTTGGTAAGTTTAAATTCTTGATCTTAATCTAAGTTATTGATATTCAAAGGAAAAAAAAACACAATTGCATGTTTTGACACACGCATTAGTCCTAGCATATGAGCATGCTCCATTCTTCACATCCTGGTGGTAATCTGTAAAAATGTTCCATCAGTATTCCTCCTATTACTGCCTAAAATCACTTGGAATTCTTGAGAAATCAACTGCCAAAAGGATGCTCTACTGGTTTGAAAATCTCTCTTACATGTTGTACTTAAAACAAGGAAGAACATGGCACATACCACAACAATAACGTAATAAACAGAAAAAAATGGTTTCAGACCAGATATTTCAGCCAAAAACAAACTGGTAACATTATTGTCTTAGGCTGTGCCTAATTTTCACTTTCTTATGGTACTGCACAGATGGGTATGTATGTTTAATGGATACATATTAAGTATATGTGCCCACTGTGACTTACTTGTCACAGGGAATTTTCATAATATAATTGTGTTCAGATTTTATATGTGCATCTGTAGCTGAGAAAAGAGCCATCAGGTATAAAAAGACCAGATAATTCTCTGACAGCTATGCAGATTTCCTCAGCTAAATGTTAATTGGCTTAAGCCATTTGATATTCAGAACTGGAGAAGATTTTTCCAGTACAAATCACACAACTGTCCTGCTACCATGTTTCCCAATGAAAACCCTAAAAGCTCCAAAAAGAAAATTAATAGGTGTTGAGTTGAAATAATGTTTCTTAAGTGTTGAGGAAGCAAAAGTGGGGAAATCTATAATTATTTGCAGCAGCAGCTGACTGGACAGGGTATTGAAGATGCTTTCATTTAATAAGCAGATCATGGATGCATTAATTATAATTGTTGTAGCTGAAAATCAAACTTGACACAATAATTATTGGCTTGTACTTACAAGTATATAGGTTAGGAAAATGGAAAGCTGCTTGTTGTTATGAAAATCCTGTTACTACTATGATTTACTAAACCTCAATTGTGCAGTTATTCTCAAAGCACCAATTTCAGTTTGTTGAGATGGAAGCTTTAGGTAGAGGGGTGTTGTTTTGACTAGAATCTGGTGTTGATTTCTAAACATCTAGAACAGACAAGAACATGGGTCACTGATACTCAGAAACTTTCCTATCATGTGAATCCTTTCACGCACAAGATTTCCTGAGGGATTCTTTCTACTTTCTGCCATACAATTCTTAAATGATGTTAGTTTAGAGAACTTGGTGTTAAATCCAATAATAATCCCCTGATTGATATTTATTATTATTCTCATAATGATTGCCAATGTCTGCTCCATTCTGTATTGTTATTGTAAGGAGAAATTCTGTCTTGATCTCTCATCGGAGTTAAAGAGTTATTTTACCCTAGTGATCTCACAGGGTCACTCAAAATGATTTAAAAGAGGTGAAATCCATGAAAGCCTGACAGAATGTAGTTGTGAGTTCTCCCCCAACTAAGCTTTTTTTGTAAATATTCTCAAATAATTACAACTAAACAGTATTTGAATTATTTCATCCATCAATCTCTACTCTTATGCAGTGCAGTTTGAACAAATTGTGCTTGTTTTTAGATGCAGGGACACCATCATTGCCAACAGACAAAGTGCGCTTCATTCTTGGTGGAGAAGAAGCTGATCAAGAGCAACACAAAATGTTCTCAGAATTGCTGGAATATCATTGTGATAAAGATGGTAATGAAGAGTGGAGGGAAATGGCTCGGTGGTTAAAATTTGAGGAGGATGTAGAAGAAGGTGGAAATCGTTGGAGTAAGCCGCATGTTGGTACCCTTTCACTTTACAGTCTGTTTGAGTTGAGAAGTGCACTTTTACGTGGAACAGTACTTTTGGACATGAATGCAACCAATTTATCTCAAATTGCTGGTAAGCATCTCTTCAAAGCTTTTAATAAGCAAATCATTTACTGTCGTTTTTATAATTGTAATGAATGTCTCTCTCTCTCTTCTGGGCTAACCAAAATAAGTGTTGTTTGAATTGTCTTTGCCCACATACATTTCCACTTGCCAGATAACCCCCCCCCCTCAAAAAAAAGAAATACCACCTAGTGTAAGTCTTACTGTTTGACTTTGCATCATCTTGATAACAAACTAAGCCAGTTTTAACCTGAAAGGGATTTCCTATGCTTGGTAACTGCATTAGCATTTCTGAATTATAACCTCAGTTTTCCACTGTACTGTTCTAGCAACTGCTGCCTTGCTAATGATGCTGCAGTTGTACTGTATTCATTTTCACCTTGTAGCACTGGCCAGCAAGTGACACCAGTAGTATTCCTATTCTCCATACAGTTTTCTCTACATATTTCAGTGTTTACTGTAGTAAAAATAATTTAACAAGGTACAGTATTAACCGTTTAATGTCTAAGAGTGATAAGCAGCTAACGTCTCCCTGCTAAGTCATACATTTAGGTCACGAGAATAACGGACGTGATTGCCAACTAAAGAAAAATTTCTGGCGATCATGTCCGTTATTCTTGTGACCTAAATGTAGGACTTGGCAGGGAGAAGTTAGCTGCTTATCACTCTTGAGGTTAAACGGTTAATACTGTACCTTGTTAAATTAATTTTTTTACAGTAAACACTGTTTTGAAATTAGATAATCTTTCTCCTTTAAGATCTTGTCCTTGATGATCTGGTGAATAAAAATCAATTGGATCAGGACAACAGGCAGCAAGTACGTGATGCAATCTTAAAGAAGAAGCGTCACCAGGGAAACAAAACACAAAAGAAGAAGAGCTCCAACCCAATGAGTAGCTTTGGATCATTTGCAAAGAAAAGCTCGACCGCTGGCTTCACTGACATGTTCAAAAGATCTGATTCTTCCCAGAAGACAACTGCTCCAAAGAATTTAGAGGTGGTGAACGAGGTAGACACAAATGATGGAGAGTTCCCACATTTCCCATCAGCTGCAGACTTGGTGGGAAAAGGGAAAGAGAGTGGTGTTAATGGTAACGCAGGTCTTGACCAGACAGACTCTGAGACTTGCTTAGAAGCGGTCAGTTTACCCCTTTTCTTATTTGTTGCACTCAATTAAAAACCAAGGAAATCCACATTTTCTTTACTCTGATAGCAAGTTTGTTTGGTAATGCATTTCTTCATTCCTGGCACATTCCATTACTTGCTTAGAGCTGGGTAGTGTAACCTGTTTCTGAGCTAAATGAATAAAGGGGGTAAGTTCTAAAGAAACTGTGGTGCTGCGTCAGTGGGGGTAACAAGGTAATTTGGTGATATCAACTAAGTTGAAATTGTAAATTGGCCACTGTAAAGAGTTAAAAAGCTGATGTTTCAAGCGTTAGCCCTTTGTCAGAGCGAATGGTCTAAACATAACCAGGTAGCAATTTTGAAAAGGGTTTAGGGACAACCACTTGACTGTCTGCATAGACTTTTGGAACCAAAAATCGGTTGAAGCACCAATTCACTCTGATGAAGGGCTAACGCTCAAAATGTCAGCTTTTTAACTCTTTATGGTGGCCAATTTATAATTTCAACTTAGTTGATATTACCAAATTACTTTTTCTGAGCTGTTCTACACATTTAAAACTCTGGAAAGCTACATTTTAAACATAACCAGGTAGCAATTCTGAAAAAGGTTAGGGACAACCACTGTACTGTCTGCTTAGACTTTTGGAACCAAAAATCAGTTGAAGCACCAACCCTTCGCTCCCAAGATCTCATTTGTAATTCTCCATACCATCTGCCATTCTTATGATGTTAGTTTGGACAATTTGGTATTGGATCAACCAATAATCCCTGAATTGCCATTTTTGTCTTTTCTCTGCTTGATATTGTATTGATATTGTAGGGAGAAATTCTGTCTTGGTCACTCATGGGAGTTAAAAGGTTAAAAAAACATTCTTCTTCTCTGGTTCTACATGAATAGTAATCAAAGATTATCTGAGCGCTGCGGGATTATGCAAAAATTGATATTTTTTGCCTAAGATATCCTTGTTGTGTCAATCAACAGGTGGTACACTTAAAAATTTTGGGTTATCATCGAGGTAATCAGAAAATTTCTGTTTCAGTTTGATGCCAACTTTATGAAAAAGATTCCTCAGGGCGCTAAAGCTTCCAATGTCTTGGTTGGTGAGATGGATATCATCAAGAAGCCAGTGACAGCATTTGTACGTTTGGAGAATGCATCACTCTTAGGTGACCTCACTGAAGTTCCTGTGCCATCAAAGTTTATATTTCTCATGTTAGGACCATCTGGTACACCAGGAAGGTACATGGAAGTTGGACGTGCTATTGGGACACTGATGTCTGATGAGGTATCGTTGTTCACATTCTGATCTACTTGTAAAGCTAGATTAATAAACTTTACAGCCTAGCACCAGATTATCTCTTCTCCATACTGTTCTTTACCCAAGGAGAATTTAGTTAAGAATTGGGAGCTTTTTAAGTTTATGATCATTTTCCTTAATTCTCAAGGGCCTAATGTTTGATTCAGAAGGGGCACCCTAGTGAGAAATTAGATGTTAGTCACCCCTAGGGTGAAAGGGTTCAGAAAATGCCAAAATAGTGTGAAATTCTTGCTACAAATGTTGCTAACTTCAGATACTTTTCTTTCTTAGCCAGTTATTAGTGTGAGATGTGTGTCCAAAATTTTTGCTTATGATACTAAATCTGACCAGAACACTAAACATTTTTCAGACAATGGTGAATTGAAAGAGAAAACCATGGCTCTGTATTTTTTTCTTTGGCTAATTTGATTGGGGTGTGTGTACATGGTTTAGCTAGAAATGAATTCAGGTGTGATTAGATCTGATTTAGCTTGGATCATATTTTTCTCTTTTCTTGATACCAAACCATTCTTTAAATGAGGTATGCTTTAAACAAGAAAAGAGCAATTAAAGCCATCTGGAAGTAAGCATTTTGTTAAATTTAAATTTCTTTGTCTATTTTTTAGGTTTTTCATGAGGTTGCCTACAAAGCACAATGTCGTGAGGATTTGCTGGCTGGAATTGATGAATTTTTAATGCAGGTAATTTAATAACAATATCTTCATCATCCAATTTCCGAACAGTTAGCCATGAACTTTTCCATTCTTTTAATCATTGTGCTCTTTTCTATCAATATCTCTTCTGGCATTGGTTGATATTTCTACCTGACTAGACTGGCAATGTACTGATGGGATGGTGAGGTGGAAAAGGCATGCTTCTTAGAGGATTTGTTCCCTTGTTTCTTAAAAATGCCAAAGAAGGAATGAATCTGAATTGATGTATAAATGTGGTGATCTTCTCTGACTTCATTCTGATTATATGAATAAAATAGGGCAAACAACATATTTGTTACATGAATATTTCTACTTCCTTACACACTAACATTACTTGCCCAGTAGCAAACATCTTGATTTGAAGAATTTCAGGGTGTCTCTGTTCCTGTGAATTAATATGCTTTGTAACAACTTATGGCCATATATAACATTTCAAGCTTGCCACACAGCTAGCATAAAAAAAAATCATAGCTTTTATAGTCCATTATAGTCTTGTTCACAGTGATAACTTTAATCCTTTGATTTTGTATCCAAGAGAGTACTTCTGTGTCATTTGAATTCAGGTAACAGTGTTGCCACCTGGTGAATGGGATCCCTCCATTCGCATTGAGCCTCCAGATGCTGTTCCAGCGCAGGGAAATCGTCTTGAGGTTGTGAAGTCTGGAGGTGGTGGAGAAATGGAGGAACATGATCCGGCAGGAGACAGAGAAGAACAACTTCAGAAAACAGGAAGGTAAGGAGATGATGGATGGCATGAAAAGAAACCTATATAGAATTTGATGCACTATGTTTTGCTTGATGGTTTGGTAATTAAACCGCAAACAGAAGGATCTACAATCAAGTAAAGGTCAACTGAGTTAATTCTAAGATCAAAATATAGACTAAAAACTTTACTGTTAAATAAACCAAAATCTCCAATGTTTTCGCAGTATTTTTGTGTGATAACTGGGAGTCATCTATTTTTACTCTCTGACAGGTTATGTGGTGGTCTCATTGCGGACATCCGACGTCGTGCTCCCTGGTACTGGAGTGATTTTAAAGATGCTCTGAACCCTCAGTGTATTGCATCAATTATCTTCATTTACTTTGCTTGTCTCACACCAATTATTACATTTGGGGGTTTGATGGGGACAAAGACAGGGAAGAACATGGTAAGATATGACTGACAATTCTCCTTTCTTGCTGCTATATGCTCGTTTTTAGTTGTTACTTTTAATGTTTTGGCATAAAACCTGGTCAATTTAGCTCGTTTCCATCAATCTTCTGAAAAAAGTGTAGTAGCTGATTGCTGTTGTTAAAACAAAGTAAGCTTATTATTACTATTAAATTAAGAAAGGTTACCTTTCTTAAAATGCTATGTATATAATTATTGTCCAGATGGAGACAGACAGGTTTGCTTCAGAGGGCAGGGCATTGCATTGTTTCCTGTATAAGTTTTATATTTCCTCCTGTTTTTCAAATTTTTCTTGTAGCCACTTGTACATATCACATCTCTTCAAAGTTCTGCTCCACAGGCGTATTTCCAATTTTTTGCAGTCAGGAATTATTCAGGCAACTAATCCAGAACTCTCTCTCCTCTTCCTAAATTTTAGGCTGCTATGGAGCAAATTCTTGCTGGTGGAATTGGTGGAGTCCTTTTCTCCTTATTTGGTGGTCAACCACTTATTATTCTGGGTGCAACTGGGCCTATGTTAGTGTTTGAAGAAATTCTGTATACATTCTGTGATAAATTTGGCCTTGACTACATGCCATTCCGTTTATGGATTGGTATATGGACGATGCTGTACTGTTTTGTCCTTGTGGTAACAGATGCCAGTGCCCTTGTGCGTTACTTCACCCGTTTCACAGAAGAGTCATTTGCCACCCTAATTGCATTGATCTTCATTGTTGAGGGTTTCAAGAAGTTGTTCCATGTATTGGATGATAGCCCAGTGAGTAAAGGTTACATAACTAGTCACAGTTGTTTATGCTATCCGGGAGAAGAAGATTCTTCCGGTCACCACGTGGCAGACAGCTCATCTTTTTTCAACATAACACCACTGGACTATCCAATCGGAGATTGTGTAAGGTATGGTGGTCAGCTTGTGGGTGAGGCATGTCACTCTAATGTGTTTTTCTTGTCGGTCATCCTATCTCTCGGAACCTTTTTCCTGGCAGTTACACTGAAGGAATTCCGTAGCAGCAGCTATTTCCCAACAAAGGTGAGTCATTTCATTTTCTGAACATGTGCTTTAACCACCACACCAATAAAGCAAAAAGAGGCAAAAAATTACACGCATGTTAGCTGTAACAGTCAGTGTAGTATCAGTAATGAGCATGCCTATGTCTCCTGTTCTTTTCTTTTTGACGTGTCTTGTGCTAAACAGTGCTTTCAATAACACCTGGCACCTGCCGGAGCTCCGGCGGCTATTCTGTTGCGAGTCGCCGGGTATATTTCACCGCGCTCAAGTCGCAGTCGCCACGCTAAGTCGCAATCTAGTCGCTCTCCGGTGGATGTTGTACCGAGGTAGCCACCTATTTCAAATCTTATTGAAAGCACTGGCTAAAGCTCCGTAGTTTCTAGAAATTATTGCGGTAAAATATTACTTGAAATACTAACAACTTACAGCTGTAGACAGAGATTTGATCAAAACTAAGGCTTTTCACTGAAGAAGACCAGTCCTAATGCCTAAATTTCTTCATGCATAGAATACTAAATTGAAATGGGTTTTTTAATGCTGTTTCCAACTGTTTCTTATTCTTTCACCATAAAACTGCTCCAGAAAATATTTTATTCTATACTTCTTGCCCAGAATGTAATAACTATACTGTAATAATGTAATAATTCTAATAACCTGCTCAATTTCTTTCCCATAACAGGTCCGCTCTGTAATCTCTGATTTTGCTATCCTGATTAGTATTATGGTAATGGTTGGTGTAGACTTGGCATTTGGCGTTAACACACCAAAGCTTGACATCCCATTGAAATTTGAGCCAACAAACAGTAAAGAAAGAGGTTGGATAATCCCTCCTCTGGGTAAAAACCCTGTCTGGACCATCCCTGCTGCAGCAATCCCAGCTTTACTAGCCACTATCTTAGTTTTCATGGATCAGCAAATCACAGCACTGATTGTAAACAGACGAGAACACAAGCTCAAGGTATGAAGATCTGTTTTGTGTGCATGGCATGATGTGCTGTATAGTGTAGAGATCTTTTTAGTGCCTGCTTAAAAAACTGTGATTAATAACTGAGAAGTGTCTGTTAAAATATTAATGACACTGAACATTACAAAGCTCTAACATCTGTCCCCCAGGGCTGCATTTGACTGTTGATTTTTTGTAAAAGGGAGGACTTTCTAAACATCGACTTAGCTTTCATAACTAGACCTTATCTAGAACTTTTCTTCTGAGCCACTGGCTCATTAACATGAACTCTTTACCTTTAAACACCTCCGTATTACAGATATAACTTTTGTATTCTGCTGGAAAGGCTTGAGACCACCCCAGCAAGATAAGGTTTAACCCTCCCCCTCCCACCTCAGGTACAGACAATGGTGAAATTCCCATGTGTTGCTAGAAAGAGTGGGGATGTTTAAGCTTTGCATTTTGTCTGCTAGGCAAGTCAGAGTTGATATTCTATCAAGTGAGCTTAAAACAAACATGAAATTATAGTTTCAATAATGACAGTAAAAATAGGTTATAGATCTATACTGAATTCTTGATGATAAGCATAAATGCTAATGTTAGTCTGAGACCAATGCTCCTCTGCAGTAATCCTAGCCCTTGGCCAAAATAAGCCTTAGGGAAACCAGATTAACCTTATAACCTTGCAGCCCAAAACTTGCATTTCACTGATCTTAACCTTTTGAACTGAAAGTACTTACAGTAACCAGGGTTGTGTTGCAAACTGTTGGTTAGTATTAATTTTTGGTCCAAGAAGTTATCAGCAATAAGTATGTGCTTGTAATTAAACTGGTAATTAGACTCACATTATGTTTTTCTCTTTGCAGAAAGGAGCAGGTTATCATCTTGATCTTCTACTTGTGGCTCTTATCATTGGTATATGTTCATTGCTGGGTTTGCCCTGGGTTGTAGCAGCCACTGTTCTGTCAGTCGGTCATGTGCAGAGTTTGTTTGTAGAATCTCAGTGCACAGCTCCTGGAGAGAAAGCACAATTTCTTGGTGTGAGGTATGTTGGCTTGTCATTGAACAATTACATTATACTCTAGAACATACCTCAGATTAAATTAAGTTACTTGAAAGGGGTAAATTGACTTGCAAGGTTCTTAACTTGTGTTGTTAGAAATTTGATGAACAACAGAATGTAGATCTACTCTGTTGCGAGAAATTTTTGTGTAAGTTTGATTTGTGGCTTTGCAGCTTTAACATGCATTGGATATACACTTACTGCTAAATTTTGCAAAATTTAAAGAGAACACGTAACATGTAGCGTTGACCTACAGTAGATAAATTGAGTTATTTAATGTTTGTATCAAGCCCATCAAAAAACAGTCACTGTGGTATTAGATAAAAACATGGATTACTCGATTAACAGATATTAAAATAACTTCAGCTCTAAATTTATTAATTACCTCACAGGGAGCAACGTATCACTGGAACATTCATTTTCATCTTGATTGGCCTGACTGTGTTTATTGCTCCCATACTTAAGGTTTGTGTTTCTAATTACCTCTCCTTAAATATTTAAGTCTATCTGTGTTTCTTGCATTTGGCAAGCATTCCGTAGAAAAATGCATTTTAGATGTGATTTTCAAATCAGTGTCAAAATGGATCTAAGATTGTTTTGGTTTTGCTTTACATCACTTTAAATTGGTTGATAAATCTTGTATTACTGAACCAATCAGACTCAAAACTAAAACCCATAGTGACATGTTTGCTACTGTTTTCCATCAGAAAATTTATTTGTTCTTACTTTTACCTCTTATAGTTTCATTTGTTCTGATTGGCTGTCATGATGACTTTGGTTTTGGTGGTACTACATTCAATCATAGTCTGCTCTTAATCTTTTCCATGAGTTAAGTCATACTGGTTTTGATTTCCTTGTGTTTAATTTGCCACCTTTTTTCTATAGTTTGTTCCAATGCCTGTTCTTTTTGGTCTCTTCTTCTACATGGGATTCTCAGCACTTAGGGGACTGCAGGTTAGTGCCAATCTGTACCTATAGTGTGAATGTACATGGATAGGCATAAATGAATGGCTGGTTATTGTTAACAGAACCTCAAAGCATGGATGATGTAGATTCTGGGATACTTAGTGAATTCTTGGGGAAAAATTAACGATGGTGTTAGGACTACTGTGCTTGCAGCTCTACTGAGAACAAAATTAATATGAAGCGACAGAAGTGGGCACATTTAAAATCTGTTGTGGCACCCTTATCCTGTGAGAAAGGCAGTATTGGGTTTTATTGATGGACCGTCAAAATTGCTAGTTCTAGTCAACCTTGTTAAAAATGCAATAGGTATAGAGTGAGCCTCTGTGATTAATTCTCACCCTCTTAAAAATAGTCTGCATGTACAGGAAGTCCTTCAGTGAACCAAATATCTCATTAAAATGCGAGGGGGAAATGTGAATTACTTAACAAATTTAGAAATATTGCTGTAAGATATTAACTAGTATCCCCATACAAGAGGTCAAAGCCATAATTATTCTTGAGATATTTGTATGCTCTGGTCACCAAGTAATGTGGGTATTTACTTGTGGTATTTTTCTTTTGGCCAACAGTTCTTTGAAAGGTTAAAGATCATGTTTATGCCTGTGAAGCATCAACCTGATTTGATGTTTCTGCGACAAGTTCCTCTTAAGAGAATCCATATCTTCACACTGATACAGCTACTTTGTTTGGGTATACTGTGGCTCATCAAATCCACGGATGCTGCCCTGATCTTCCCTGTTATGGTTTGTATTTACTTTTTGTGCTTACAAAATGAAAGGTTAAACCATTTTATTAATTTAGTACAGTGATGTGCATTGGTCTAAGGGTTAAATAGAACTACAAAGTTCTGAGTCAGCATAAAACCCACCACAAAGTCAAAATAAATTACTGGTTGAGCTATTTGTAATTGATTCAGATGATAAACTAGTGAACAAAGAGATTCAATATTGCTGTACATCTGTTCAGTTATAAATCATTGATGACTTCAAAATGTGGTTACAACAAGAAAGTGTTATACTGGGGAGCAGGGATGGCACAGGGATGGCACAGTGGTGAGAGCACTCACCTCCCACCGCTGCAGTGGCCTGGGTTGAGTTTGTTGTTGGTTCTTGTCCTTGCTCTGAGGGTTTTTCTCCGGGTCCTCCAGTTTTCCTCCCTCCGCAAAAACCAACATTCCAAATTCCAATCCGATCTGGAAACAGTGGACAAGAAGAGCCACCCAGTGGAATGTCTGTTGCTGAATTGTTTATTTATTTATTTTATTTATTTATACAAGGTGCATCTGAGTGTGACTCTGGTGTTGTCACCACATTTAGATGTTCTCTTTGATCTATTAGTAACAGACCTACAGCAGCATGCAATCTATTAGTTTTACATGATAGAAAAAAAAACAGACGCTGTTTATGGTGATGATCATCGATGTGTCTGTCCTCTGATATATCATATTAAGTAGGAACCATTCAAAGTGGTGTATCATTTGATAGATATACATTCACAACTGGTTTTGTTTGTATTGTATCCTGTAGGAGCACCCATTTTAAGCGTCCATTTTTTTTTTTAACATGTTTGGCTGCTATCAGTGCTTTCTCATCAAAACCATTCTCTTGGTCAACAGGTATTGATGTTGGTTGCTGTGCGTAAAGTAATGGAGAAGATTTTCAACCTCCATGAACTTGAAGTGTTGGATGACTTGATGCCAGAGAGCATCAAAAAGCAGCAAGCTGATGAGGCAGCAAAAAAGAAGGATGATGACTATGATTCCGATGATGATTTAGATGATGAGGATGGTTGTAATCATTACGATGAAACTGATGGTAAAAAGGTGAATATAATCATTAGCTTTCTTTACTTTGTCTAAAGATTTTCATATTATCTAATTAGCATGTTTTACCTTTCAGTTTGGTAATTCTTGAATTGTTTTTTGCTCCAATTATTGTTTGGTACCAGATGGTTTGTGATCAGCCTCAGTGTCACTAGTAAAAGCTAAGCCTACTTTTTTCGCTTTATGTGTTTCATGTTTAATCCTTTCCCACCCCTGTGAGGCAGACACCTGTGCTGTTGTGTATCAGTGCTGTTTTTGCTCATGCAAATTTCTTTTAGTATAGCAGATAGTGTTTATTGTACATGTGTGAAGAGTCTCAAATGCCTTATAATGCTAGTCCTATTTAAAAAAAAAAAATTAAAAAAAAAAAAGAAAAAACACTTTTTAGTGGTGTGACTGGTGCACCTAGTAATTATCCAAGACCATTTTGACTGGATTTGATTACCTGTAGTCTGTGTATGACAGTTGAATTCCATTTTGACTTACAGGTATCTAATCTGTATGCAAGGAAAAGCAAAAAATTGGTTTTGGGCTCAATGGGAAAAGAGAACCTTTTATTTTTTAATCTTTCCAGAAGTAGAATTCTTTTTCCTACATGATTAAAACTAAGAGATTAAGAGATGAAAAATGAAAAATGAACCAAGACCTATAACATTGGGACTAAATGATCTAAAAGTTCAGTTATGATACTTAGATGTTTTTTCTGTCCAGTAAATTCTACTTTTGAACCTTTCTGTCCAGGCCCTCAGTGATGGAAAGGAGTTAAATGGCACTGCAAATGTTGTAGCACCAATGAATATCTCAGAGGAGATGTGCAGGAGCTCACTGTGGAAACAGTTTGTCAAGGATGGAACAACAGCAAAAAATAGAAAGAACAAACCTAGTGATAAATCCAAGCATAAACACAAACACCATCACAAAAACAGGCACCATCGCCACAAGAGAGATCGTGAAGGATCAGCCGATGAAGAGGGACTGTGGATGCTCGAGAAGAAGAAGGAAGATGGTGAAGATGCAGGACCTGATGTTGAAATGGGAAGAAAGCTCTCTACAATAAATGAGGACAAGCAGGATATTGTTATTGACATGGAGGAGATACAGAAGTCTTTGCTTGAGTTGAATGAAATTGGCAACACTGTGACTGATGAAGGAGCTGACAAGCAAACTCCGCGTGATTCAGAAAATCCTGTTTAGAATGTTTCCTGCGTGAATTCTGGCATTCATTTTATACCGGTATTGTTGATCATATGAGAACATATTAGTATGCATACATGATTAAGAGGCAGTTGTAATTGCATAAAATGGCACACTCTGAGGTTGCTACAGACAGCACAGCAACCCAATTTATTTAATTAATATCTCCAGTAACACACACAAGTCAAAGTGCAGACACATACATGATATGATAACTGTGGACTTTCAATTTTTTTAAATTTTAGAACTCAGATTTCTCTTCAGGCATGATGATATGTATTGACTGCATTAATTGATGAAAAAACTCTGATCGGTAACTAAAGGGTAGATTAAAACATAGTGGTGAAAAAGCTGTATAGAAACGAGGTCTTTTGATGGGGCAAGTAACTTGCGGTTAAAAAAAAAACTGCATAAAATCTATTGTAAGAGTTGTAATTGAATTAGAATTATCTTGGAAATTTAATTAATAATCTGTTGAAAAAGATTTGATAATTTGCAGTTTTGTTCACATGATCATGTCTGATAGGAAATGTCTGTATTGAACTTCACTGATGTGTGGGTCACAAGATGGTATAAAAAAAAATTCAGTTGGAAAAAAGCATTCAGTTGGAAAACAGCTCTGTTAAGATTGATTGAGAATTCATGTTCTTGAAAACTACACTTAAGGTAGATAAAGCAGTTTAGAAAAAGGCTTGTGTAGACAATTTCATTTTGTTGTTGTTTAAAACTGTAACAGGTTAGCTTTGAAGTTTAAATGGTGAACAGTAACATTGGATTGTATGTTATATTTAATGAATAAGCCATCTAGGTGGTAAGATAAAATTATGTCCATAAAACAAATAAACAAACACACTAACAAACAAGCTTCTCCAGCAAAGGTGACAAACAATATCATGTAGCAGTTTGTGCTAATAAATTTCAGTATTTTTGTATTTTTAGTAATTAAGGCATAGCAGAGGCGGGTCCTCTTAAGAATTGTTTCTAGCTTTTGTTAATTTGGCCTTTTAATCATGGTTTGCCCTCTCTCGCAAGCCTAGTGACTATGCAAACTCAGACCTCACAGGTGGGCTCATATTTTTTCACTTCCCTGGGATGGTATTAGTTTCACTTCATTTCAAGGTTTTCTTTCAGTTACTCAGCCAGGATTTAATGACCAAAACTCAACAGACTCAATCCTGTAATAAAGCAATCTATTTTGGCACTTAATTTAAAATGAAACAAGTTTGGGACAATCTTGTATTTGTGAATTTCAGAAGTTATTTATTCCAGCTTAATGCGATAACTAAAGGGGAACCGTCCAATTTTTTAACTTTGTAGTAGAACATTTTCTGTGTTTGTGGGTGTACTTTCAATTTTTGCATTTGATTTTCCAGTGGTGGTCTTACCACTTAAGTTTGAATCCTTCTTGACAGTAATTTACACTTAATCAAATATTTGCTTTTGTAACTAAATGTACTGATTTTTTATGGTTTTCAGTTAGTGATAACATCAATCAGTTTGATCTTGTGATTATGTTTACCTTATATTTGAGTAGTGCTATTTAGAGAGCACTGTAGGTTAAAGCTGTAAATTTTTGATAAGAGATATTTGACAGTATATTATGGAAGTTGTTCAGGAAGTAGTTGCCAATCTCTATGTTACACCTGATGTTGTTAAATTTATTCTTGGTTCTAATTTCACCATTATTTGTTGCTGTGTATAGTAATTGATGAATGAACTACACCTCATACATGAGCTTTGAACCAAGAATAAAGCTTGACAATGACAGACTCATTTCTTCAGGTTTATATCTTCATTTTGGTTTTAAATTGTTTAAATCAGTTGGAATAGAACATTTATTTTTTTTATTTTCCTCAATTTCAGATGATCATGAAAACCAATCTGATCGCTTAGAATTTTAAACCTTTATGAATTTTTAACCTTACTGTAAACAAGTTTTATTCACTGCACATATTCCAAACTTTTAGATATGGATGTAAAAAGTATTGTAATGTTAGAATATTTATGGTCCAAACACACATTAAGTTAAAAATTAGTTTGTAATTAGTAAGATTACCTTAATAAAAATGAATGTCTTGTGTTCACTGGAACAATTTTTTGTAATTCTCAAGACTCAAATATCTGATCACAATAGCTTGCATTTTGAGAACCAATACAATGTCTTAGTTAATAATTATGTTTTTTCGTTGTTGTTGTTGTTGTTGTAAAAACTTATGGAGAGTAATTTTGTCAAGAAAGCGAGATTATTTTGAGAAATGATTATAAGAAGAAGGTGCTATATTTACTGTAAATGAACTTGGTATGTAGGCCAAAAGCCTTGTTCAGAATTCATCAAGTAAACTATTGTCAATTTGTGCAAGTGTTTCTGGATATCAAATAAAGTTCACTCATTCACATGATTACCAGACATACTTTGTACAATTATAGTTTAATAACCCTTTGACCTGTTTAAGAGACTAACATCTAATTTCTCCTTACAATATAAGCCCAAAAACAGATAAAGGTCAGGGGATTACAGGAAATGATCACTAAATGAAGAAGCTCTTGATTGGGAAACAAATTCTCCTTGTCAGCACCTTAGGACAAGTACAGAGAACGGTATGGAGAATAGGCATACTGATGTAAGGGTGTAAAGCGGTTAATGCAATCTTTCCAAAGATCAGTACCAGATGCATATTTGAGTCTTGTGTCATTCTCATAGAGGCTGCCAGTGGCAGAATTGACTACAGTGATCACTGATGGAGCCATTCATTTTTTCTTTTCCCCAGTTCGTGTTTATCATGCAACTTGGTAGAATTCATACCATTTCATAGAAAAAAAATGTAAATGGCTTGGACATCTAAAATTGAGCGTCAACCCAAGGTGTGGAATTGTTATGGTGGTCGTTAACAAATGGCGGTAGGACAGGAATATGCCGTCCTGTTGATGCTTTTTTGATTTTTTAATCAATTTATTCATATGCCTTTTTTACCAGTGACAAAAAAGATGCAATTCAGTTTCCTCTTTTTTTTTTCCCTTAGAAACTTGAAATTTTTGCAAAACCTCTATAAAACGTCCCTATTCTAAATGACTTCACCATATATTCCAGGAACAATTTTTCTTGGAAAGATTTCCCCTCCTCGAGATGCGTGCGCTGTGACCGGTGAAAGATTTCCTTCACACCTCGCCATTAACACCTTGTGTTAGGTGGTTATAGCAGGAGCATTAAATTTTTACCTGCTGTGCGTTTTGTCAGTATGACCGAGGAATTGACGGACGCGATGAAGAATTGAAATTCAATTCCGAAGAGCACAAAAGATGCCAACAAGTTTGGAGTAACACTTTCTAAAAGAAAGATATGACAGAAACTTTTCCTAATCGAATTGAAAGAATCTGTTTAATCCTAGAGGAAGCTGGTTCGTTATCTCGTTACAAGTAATCAAAACAATTGAAACAGGGTGGTTCTAGCATCAGAACGAATATTTACAACAAAATTTGAAAGCACCGAGGCAATTATACTAAAACAGCTATTCGCATCAGGTTCAGTCTCGGGGATTATTCAACGATATTCACTGAGCCTGAGGCGAATAATTGTTAAGTAGTATTTTTCAACTCTTTACTCTTTGACTTCCAAGTTCTGATTGTTTATGTTCCCCACTAGCTGCTACACATTTCATGGTAAATTAGTTGCGAGAATTTGGTGTTAGATCAAGACAACAACTACACTTTTTTGTACCTGCTAATTCTTAGTATTCTCATTTCCTGTTTTCCGGATGTTATAAGGAGAAGTTAAATGTTAATCACTTCTACGTCCGGGTGAAGTTATGTATTGTAAAAACGCAAAGTGCGCGGAACCACAATATAGACTTGTCTCTCGGCTTGAATCATAGGTTTCCAGGCACTTACTTAGCGAGTTACTTATTTCTCATTCAATAAGTTGTTTATGATCTTCTCAACATTCTTAGCTGAAGTTTTCTCTGCAAAAATTCGAAAAGAAATTTCAAAACAAAGATCCAGGGACATTTGTTGAGTTGTACACACGAACTACTTTTGGATAACTTTATTGAAAATCAACGCATATCCTAGATTATTCACAAGAAATTGTTTTTAAAGGAAATCCATCCATGTAAGTACGTTATGACATTAAATCTTTTTTCTAAAAAGAAACTAGCCTAAAAAAATCCTTTCCAGCATTGGAATTGACGCACTTTACACCTCATTTGATTACAAACAGTATGTTTTTGAATTGGCGATTGTTCGAAATGTTAGAAAAATACTGTTCCAGCTCAATATATTAGAGGCTCTTTTATGAGGAAATTACCTCCTTCTTAATCTCTGAAAGTCATAGTTACTACTCTGTAAACCTTCGATAAAACTATTCGTTAAACATAATTTATGCTACTTTACCTTTTTCCACACGCGATCAACATACGATTTTCATGACACAAACAGACTATCTGTCGTCTCAAAAAAAAAAAAAAAAACGTTTTGGATCGTTTTGCGAATGCAAAAAAAAGCATAGCTGGCAATATTCACTCTTTGTTGTATAAAATAAATGTCCTTCGCATAAGATGTATTGCTTTGCAAAGTTCTTCTGTGAGAGTCAACAAGGTTTCTAATACACTGTGTACCCGGGTTTTCTCCCTTCACCAACTCGCTCGGTAAGGATATACTTTCTCAGTGATTTCATTTCCTTCATCTTGCTTTTCAAAAGACTTCGCAATCTCTCTGATTCCTTTCTGCTCTGCTTGATGGCCTCCAGAAGCTCAGCTTCCTGCCGAGATCCTAAGCTATCGCTCAGCTGTCCTCTTTTCTGCAGCATGTTTTCCATCTGAGCGCACTTGAGGTCTGCGTGAAGGCTGCCTAGTTCAAGATGATAGCTCTCCTTCAACATTCGTAACTGCTCCATTAGATCCGAAATCTGCCTCGTTCTCTCATCGAGCTGGTCTTTCATGATCTCCAACACGTCGCTTTTCTCGCTGGTATGCATTCTGGTTGCCTGGAGACGAAGCTTCAGGTTATCAATCTCCATGTCTTTGGATTCAATCGCAAGCTTGGCAGCTATTTCATCCGCGTGTCGTTGTTGCTCACTGGCCTCCTGGATGATCCGAACTTCTCGCTCCAGGGCCTCGACGCGGTCTTGTAAAAATTTCACCTCATTCTCGTAACGCGTGCGCAGTCGTTGAAGTCTTTCCCCCTTTGACTGACTGGCGTTCTTCTGTTGTTCCATTTCACTTATCACAGACTTGACCTCTCTTTCCCAGCACTCTCTTTCAATGACGTAACTCTGAAGTTTGCTGTTAGTGGATGTTAGATCCAGCTTCAACTCCGATTCCCGGTTGTGTTTCTGTGCCAGATCTTTCTTCAGGAATTCATTTTCTTTCTCTGTCACTTTGAACTTGGTGACGTTATCATTGTGTTCTTTTTCTTTATCTTTTAGCTCTTTCTTTAGCGACTCTGTCTCAGCTTTCAGCTTACCAAGCTCCAGTTGTTTCCGTGCCGAGTCAGCGCATGCGCCACTCTGGATCTTCACCAACTGTCGTTTGAGGTTCTCGATCTCCTGGAAGGAATTGACAGCTTTGTTCTCAGCAGCTGTCAGTCGTTCTTCTGATTTATTCAGCATGTGTTTTACATGGTCCTTCTGTTCAATGGCTCCTTTTAATTCGCGATCGAGACTCTCCTTTTCGCATTTGACCTCGCGAAGTTGGCCGCTGAAAGCTTCGCAGATTTCTTTCTCCTTACAAAGCAGAGCTTGGTATTGAGCGCAATCTTTTTTTGCGGTGTCCAGTTGTTGTTTCAAGATCTCATTAGTTGCTTGAAGACTTCCACTCTGTATCTCAAGTTCTTCGCATTTCTCGCGAGAATGTCGTAAATCATTCTGCGTTTTCTCCATTAGTGAGGTTTTCTCACAAACTTTGTTTTTCAAGTCTGCAAGTTGAGTCTCGAGGCTGGCTTTCTCCTCTCTATTTCCCTTGAAGTCCTCCTCCAACGCGGCTACACGTTCGTCTGCCCTTGCAAGCTTCGCATAGAGCTCCGTTTTCTTCTCATTGGTACCGTCATACATCTTTTCCAGTTCTTGGATCTTTGATTTATTTATGTAAAGCTCTTTCTCTTTTTCTTGAATCACTTGCTCTTGCGCTTTATCGTTTGCCTCCAACTCAAATGTCCTTCGCATTAACTGCAAAATGTTTTCCTGGAGTGCATCAAGCTGCTGTTGACTTCCTTTGATTTCGTTCTTAGCGTCAACAATCTGCCTTCGCGAGGCTTCTAGATCCTTGTAATATCGTTCCTTGTCTTCTTCTGAAGTTTTCAACTTCGCCTTTGTTTGCTCTAGTGCCTCTTTCGTATCCCACAGTTCTTTCTCCAGCACGATCTTCTCCCCTTTAGTGTCAGTGATTTCATTATCTTTCTCCTTTTCCATCTCCACGCATTTGAGTTTCAGTGCTTCAAGACGCCTTCGCAATCTTTTAACATCGTCTTCCAATTTCCCTTTTTTCTTTTCCAAATCATGGAGGTATCTTTTCATCTCTGCTGCTTTATTCTTCTCCTTTTGAAGACTTTCGTCCAGACGAGCAATTTCGACTGATTTTTCAGCCAACACTTGTTGCAGTCCTCTGTTATCGTTAAAAGACGAGAGGCACGCCTCGTGGAAGGAAGTTACCACATCTTTCATTGAAGTGTTCATCGGTGTCAGTGGGAGAGTGTCACCCCCGTCAACGCTCTCCTCTTCTTCTTTGGCCATGAATTCCGATGATGGCAGCTCTGCGAAGTATTCGCCGCTATTTGTAGCCTTCATCTTGCGTACAACGTTAAGTTTAGCGTGCGCTTCAGCCAAGAGATCTTCTATGTCGGTATTTCGTTCCTTGAGCTCTTTCTCCAACCATTCTACCTTCTCTGAACCGATTTCCAAGCGCTCTCTCAGGTCATCGCTTTCTGTGCGCGTTTTTTCCAGCACCTCTTTCGTCTTCGTCAGCTCACTCTTCAAGTTTGCGTTTTGCAGTGACAAATCTTCCAACTCTCGGTTGCGTTTGGCGATGTCTCTCTCAAAAACTTTTTCTTTTTCGCTTAGAGCGTCACTGGTTTGTTTTAAATCGTTCTCAGTCTTTTCTAACGTTGTCTGAGCGTGCTCCAACTCTTGCTTGAAGTTTCCGCGCTCTCCCACTACCTTCTGATGCAGTGTTTTTAACTTGTTCACCTGATCACTCCATGCCGATACTTCTTTCTCGTTTGTTTCTCTCTCAGATTGCAGTGTCTCTTGAAGATGTTGGATCCTCTGCGAGCTTGATGCAATCTGCTCCTTTTGTTCTCTGTTCTCTGATCGCAAGTTTTGAATGGTTCCTTCGGCTTCCGTCAGCTCGTTTTGACTGGCCCAATACTTCTCAAATACTTCCTGCTTCTTCTCTTCTAACGACTTGATCTTGTTTTCGTCCTTTTTCAATTCTTCTTGCTGCTCTTCTAATTGCTTCTGTCGCCTGTCCAGCGCACTTGTAGCCACGGAAAGCTCTTTCTTCGTTGTTAATAAATCATTCTTCAAACTGGCTGCTGTTTCTTCGTTGCTTGAGATTATGACTTCTAAAGCTTCATTAAGGGACATCACTTTAATGGAACTCGTTTCTTTCTCCTTCAGGAGCTCATCACAAGTTCCTTGAAGCTTCGAAATCCTCTCGTCTGCGACAATTATCTCATTCATTAACCTCTTTCTCTCTTTCTCGCTTCCTTCGTGGTTCTTGTTAAGACTCGCATACTGATTCTTCATGTCCGCCAGTTCTTCTTCAAGCCTCTTCATCTCGATTGCCTGTAACTCCGTCTCTTTTCTCAAGGTATTTCCTGTTGTCTCCAAGATACTGACTTTTTCCTCCAGGTCCGAGTTCTCCTCTTGCAGTCTGCCAAGCGAACGTTCTAAATCTTGTAGGTTGTTCCTGTAAGTCTTGCACATCGCAGTGTTTTCATTAAGGTCCAGCTCCACTTTTTGCCGTATGTCTCTCTCCGAATTCACCTGTTTCTTCAAACTATCTAGCTCTTTTCGAGTGTTCTTTAATTCGACTTGATCCTGTCGCAGCTCCTCTCTCATTGTACACAGTTCAGTTTTGGCTTCTTCTTTCTCTTTCAAGACATCGTCCAACTTGCTCCTAAGTTCTCTTAAACTTGCTTCTGTGTTCTCCAACTCGCGACTGAGCGTCTGCTTCTCGCTGTATTCGGCCTCAAGCGTGGCAATCCTCTTTTTGTCGTTTCGTGCATCCTCTTTCATTGCCCTTGCGTTTGCTTCTAGATGTGATATTTTCTCATGACAGACCAGTATTTCCTTCTCCAAAGCTGTCTTTTTCTGTTCAGTTCTTGTTAGATTTGAATCCAGTGTTGATATCTGTTGGTTCGTGCGCATCAGCTCCGCGTGTTGTTTTTCTGCTTTGTTCTCGTATTCGCCAAAAAGTGACTCTAGCTCGCTGCACTTGTTCTGTAGTTGAATTAGAGATTCGCAATTTTCCATATTTTCCTCCTTCAAGTGGTCGTGCTGTTCTTTCTTTTCTTCCAATAGAGATTCCTTCTGAGCCAAATCTTCTTTCAGCTTTTTAATCTCTTCGCATAACTTTTTAGAAGTAGTTGAAAACAAGGACAGCTGATTGCGAAGTAGCGCGAACTCCTTGTTGATAAAATCGACGTCTCGTTGATAGCTCTTTGTCTCGTGTTCCGGTACTTTGGCTCCAGAGCGGAAGAAATCAAGATTTCGTTCTGTAGCTCGGATGCTTTGGCGCAAGTTCTGCATCAGAGCTTCATTGTCAGGAACATCAGTTTCGTTGTCTGCTTGACTGGGATTGTCTTCCTCTGCGACCCTTCCTTCTTTGTTAAACGCATTTCTGATGGTTCCCTTCATCTCGCGGTTCTGATGCTTCATCTCATTGATTAAGCTCTCGGCATTTTGTTGCTGTGCTAGCACCTTTCTTGTGGCAACGAACAAGTCGTTTGTTAAACTCTGCCTTTCATCTTCGAGTTCTTGTTTCTTCGCTTGCAGCTCTTGAATAACTTCCTCTTTCACGCTGCAATCTCTCAGCGCACTTGCTTTCTCTAAACGAGTTTTTTCCAGCAATATTTCCAGCTCTTCATTTTCACCTTTCGACTCGAAGAGGCTCTTTTCCATTGCATCGTTTCTCTTTAAGCTTCCTTGGTGCGCAGTTGTCAGCTTAGCCATCTCTAAATTAGCCAGGTTTAATTTTTGCTGCAGATTTTCTTCCTCTTGAACTGATTTCTTGTACCGTTCGCCCATTTCCGACAAGTCTTTCTTAACCAACTGAAGTTCGTCGGAAAGCCTTCGTATCTCCGAGGATGAATCGATGTTGCTCTTTTCCATATCTGCGAGGGATTTTTCAGCTTCTCTCTGCCTTCCCTCTATTGTTACGATATGGTTTTTCGCTTTGTTCAATTCATCTTGCAGCTCTTCACAATGGTTCAAAGCTTCGTTATTTAGAGTTTGCATAGCTTCCCTGTCTGTTTTCTCCTTGTCGGCGGACTCGTTTAATTTCTTTATCTGTCTTTCAGCTTCAGAAATTGTCAACTCCACACCACACTTAGCCTCAGTTAACGCCATGATATCTTTTCGTAACCTCTCGTTTTCGGCCTGGAATGCGTCATTGGTCTTCTCAATCTCAGCCACCTTAACTTGAAATGACTTCATCTCGTTTGCCAGTTTTGAACTTTCTTCATCTGCCCGTCGTAAATCGTCTTTCAGACCTTCATTTTCTGCCTGGAAATTTTCTTTGGCGTTTTCCAGACCTGTAGTGATCTTTTGCATGGTGTCAATTTTGATCTCAAAGTTTTCTTCGTTTTTCTTCGCCTCAGCCAAATCCTCTTCCAAAGCTTTGTTTTCATTTTCCAAAGACCTCTTTTGTTCTCCAAGCTTATTGACTTTAGCACTGTATAGCTCGTCACGAATTCGGGAAGCTTTTAGTTCGCCTTCGAGTTCTTGCCTTCGTTTATCAGATTCCAGGTATTGTGTTAAATCCTTCTGCAGTTCGCCGTTCGCCAGTTGTAAATCAGCACACTCAGCTTGCAAGCTATTCACTAATGACTCCAAATCTCTCTTCTTCTTTAACAGCACATCCACTTTGTCTTCAGCTGTCGTTACCATAGAAACACCGCTTGGCGCGGAAAGGAAAACGTCGGCACGATCGTTTGGCAAAGCAGAGAGCTTATTCTCTATGGTTTGAAGCCGGTTTTTCTGAAGGGTACTCTCTTCCAGCAGCTGCCGAGAAAGTTCCTCGTATTTCTTTTTTTCTCCGCTTTCATGCTCAAACTTCTCTGCCACAGATTTGGAGTACAGTTCTAAGGTTTTTTCTTTCTCTTCCTGTAGGTCAACTTTCTCCTGCAACTCTGCGAAATCCCTCTCGCGATTCTCAAGAGTTGTTTTCAAGAGGTCCGCTTGCGTCGATATCACGGTAAAACTGCGCTCGAGCTCGAAAGATTTATTTTTAGCTTCTCGAGTCTCCGCTTCCAGTGACTTGACTTTATCTTCGAGACCAACAAGACTTTTCTCCTTTACGCCAACGTCGTTTTTCAGAATTTCATTCATCTGCGATAATTGCTTCAACTGGCTCTCCTGTTTTTCCTTGTGCACAGTGAATTCGTACAGTTTGCCGCGCAATGCTTCCTTATCTCGAACAACCGCTCGGAAATTTTCGATCATGGTCGGCATCTTGCATAGAAGTCCAGTTTCCTGGCCGAAACTATCAGCGGAGAATGCGTTATCTGAAGCAACAGAATTGGGGCTACTTGGTCCAGAGCTGAACTCAAAAGCAGATGTTAAAGAAACTCCTAGCGCAGAATCTGGAGAAATGCTTTCATCTCCTCGGAAACTCTTGCGCAGGTCGTCGATAGTTCTTGACGCGTTTAGAATCTGCTGTTCTATTTTTTCTTTTTCCTTTTCCGAAACTTCCAACGCGGAATCCTTCTCGCTCAATTTTTTCTTCACTTCTTCGATCTCTCGCTTCATCCCGTAGTTTTGTTTCTTGACAATCTCATATGCTTCGTTCGCCTCTGAGCATGCCGATTTCAAACTAAACAATCTTTCTCGTTGCTTCTTATCGTCTCCTTCCATCTTTTCCAATTTAATCTTCAGCGTGTCCAGAGACTTCATATTTTCCATGCGCAGTTTCTCCTCTCGATGAATGCTCTCGTCTTTATCCCTAATCTGTGATCGTAACTCAAAATTCTCAGCCGTCAGCTGTTTGATCTTTTCTTCTTTCAATTTAACCGAAGCTTGCACATAGCTGAGTCCTTTTTGCAGCATGATCATCCGTTCGGTGGTGTTCTTCAAATCTTTTTCAACCTTCTCCTTCTCTTCTTTGGTGAGCAGATATTTTAGCTCAGCTTCTTTCAGCTTGTCAGCAATGCCGCGATACTCAGCCTCCATTTTCGCTTTCTGGTGCCAGTCGACAGCTTGTTTCTGAACTTCCATTTTAAGCTGCTCCACTTGGCCTTGCAGTGTCCTGTTTTCTTTTTGCAGCTTCTCGATGGAGTCGTCCTTGACTACAAAAAAGAAACGTGAATGTTTAGCACCGATAGATAGATAGGCAGAAAGACAAACAAACGAACATTTGACAATTTAAAGCGTAAACTGATTTATACCTTAGCTATAAACAAGCTAACGCCAAATTTACGCGTCCAAGCCGAATTTACAACTACAAGGTATTGTTTCCTCTTAATCCATATGAGAATTGGCTCTTTAAGTAATTGGCGTTCTTTGCATTTTGAATACCGATTAAAAAGTATTTTAACTGTAAACTTCATCTCCGTTGATTAAATGGGGGCTCTTTTGAGTTTGTACTAAAAAATGTGATTTCTTTTTTTTAATTTATATTTTATGAACGATCAATTTTCAAATTTGAGCATGCTTTTTCCTGAGTCTCTTGCGACGCTTTACAAAACAAAAGCTTCTTTGAATTAAGCAGAATGCGCGTGCATTACAATGGAACAAAAGTTTGTGATCGAAATGTTCAACACGCTTTTGCAAATCTTATCAAATGCTTTCCCAACGAAGTCTAAGTCAGTTTTACTAACATTGCGCTAAATCAGACATAAGAATTTTTTTCCGGTAAGGGCAAATGTTTTGCATAAAACAAGAAACTTTGGTTGATTGAGCAATGCCAGCAATATCTTAATTGAAGCCAGTAAATTCCTGTACGTAAACAGTTATAGAAAATCTAAGGTAGACTTTGCAAATTGCGATGTAATTGCGTCAAAAGATTAGAAGGCTATACAAACGAATACAGAATTATCGAGAATTCCGTGATCGGTTGATTTTTTTCTTTTTTTCTGTGATATTCGCTTTACTTCTCGAAAACGTGCCATCCATCGCGGTTGTAAAACAATGGTTTTACAATTTTTCTTTGTTTTTGATCTCCGCTAAACGTAAACGTGGCAATTTATTGTTCACATTTGTTTAGCTGTAAAAAACCGCTAAATATTAGATCAAATAGTGGAGTATAACAGTCGATTTCCAACTCCCACGCTGGTAAATCATCCCGAGCAGGCAGAAAAAATCTTTCGCCATAATTTCAAGGTCGCCGAGGTAAATGTTATTGGGCTTTCAATGCGCTACTAAACACGGCAAATGAATACCTTCAGACCAAAATAATCCGCAATAAACGAAGAAAACTTCAAGCTCTATTTTAAGCTTGACATTAACAAATTGAATGTCAGCACAAAAAGTGTGTTTAAAGGTGCTTTTAATTGATTTTTTCTTTCTTCCTTTAAATACTCACTTTCACCCGGAGGCTTGTTTTATTGTCAAGAAAATAAATTGTAACTCCATTAAAGCTTTGTTTTTGAAGTCAATGGCAAATGTTTAACCCATTCCAGTAAGATCTCAGTATTGATTCGCCTAACAGATGGTTTTAAGTTCCTTTGTCAGCTATTTATGAGAATGTGACGACAACATCGACCTCATGGTAATATTTTTGTACCTCAAAACGTGTTTGCTGGATACTGTATGCAAGTTGCTAAGCTAATAGAAAGTTTGAAGTGATCAACAGTGATTGAAAGGGTTCAAAGAGCACGTTATTATAAATTGAATGCCAGCGCAGAAAATTGAGTAGAAATTTGTACCGAATTGTTCTTCCTTTGTTTCTCTGAATATATTCTAACACACATAGACACTGAATTGTTACGAAGTCTGTAGCCTCATTAAATTTGTTTGTGAAGCCCAATTGCAGTGGTAATGGCAAATGTTTTTAAATGATCTTGGTCAACAAAAGTTATCATAACATACAAAGGTTGTCTCATGTTTACAATATATGCGATTCAAGAACTTACTATTAGGAAAGTGCAAAAGCAATGTTTTTTTTTCTGTAGTTATTAACTGATGTGGTCTTTTTCTTTTTTAATTAAGCGCTAGCCTTTAGCCGCGCATAGACAGTGTAATAAAAAGTTCTCAACAGAAGAGACAATTCCTTTGGGAATTCCTAATTCTTCAATGGTTAGTAAACTTGCGCGGTTATCAGCATATATTGAAAGCCAACCTTTAATAAAGTTACTTTAACCTTCAGTCAAAGTTGTACATATCCGTACATTTCGAAAACTTTTGTACATGTACTGGTTTCTTATAAAAGTTTATTGTTGATGTTTTGATGTTTAGCTTGCGACTAGGCTCGGGTGTTTTGGTTTCGCAGGCAATGCCGCCTAATAAGAGGGTTTCGATGAAGTTCAACGTTAGCAATTTTAACTGTTAGTTGTCAATAAAGTAAACCGTAAAGATATTTCTTTGAACCGCAGTATAACAGAAAGAAATTCACCGTCAGCTGTAAAATGGCGAAACTTTTAGCCGTTATTTTAGCCGCTGAACTCATCACCATTACAACTTCTGCAGCCGTTTATGAAAAAAGTTATCGAAAATCTTGGATTCTAGAATTTATATCTTATATTGATACTCATAAAAAGTGAAAGAACCACTTAAGGGATGAATCAATGCCGTATGCTTCTGTTGATGAGAAGGTCTAGCCTCAAACAAACACCGTCGCAAATACTGTTCGACTGTTTCTCCCCCAACGTATAAAAGCTAATTCTCCTAACTGATGATCGCGCATTTCTTATTTGGCTGTTCGTGAGAACTTTGTATTACATCAGGAAAATATTACCTAAAATGATAGTTTTCTTAATTCTTATTACCAGTTTGCACGGTATTGTATAACTTTGTAAGGAGAACTTATAATTGATCGCCACTGGGCGTGAAAGGTTTACTCAGCGAAACCTCACGTTTAAATGACTTTGTTTAATTAATTTTGGTAATGATTTGGTCATATGATTTTTGACGAAAATTTTTGATATTTCGGAAATGAAACAGAGAAGAGCGAGTGAGTAACCAGCACTTAAGGCAAAAATAAACTAAAATTAAGCCCTACTACAACGGTCAGGGACACAGCACTCGAAAGCCGGGTAAAAGTAAATGGCACGGTCTGGTTTAGCAGCACATGACAAACCAGGGTTCACGCGACGCGCATCAAGACTTTAAGATAACCTAACAGGCCTTAACAATTTTCAAACACTTAGCCAGCTAGAACATTCCTGACTTTAGTAATTCCAAAACACTTCTAATTTCAGTAGTTCATAACATTATCGATGAAAACACGCTTACCTGCCAAAGCGGAATCTCTTTCGCGAAGCACCGTTGTCAAGCTAGCTTCTAGACTCTCAATTTGACTCGTCTTCACTACTTTCTCTTTGATGAGTTCCCGTAGTTCGTTTTCTTTCCCTAACATCTGTTTTGCATTCTTTTCCAGAGTTTCATCTGTTTCCTTTATGCTGTCTTCGAGAATCTGGACTTGTTTCCTTAGTAGTTCTAATTCCTTCTCTTGACTGATCTTTTCGTTTTGAAGTTGCCGTACAGTTTCTTCTAAACATCCTTTTCCCTTCTGAATTTCGGTCAGCGCAACTTGAAGAGTTTGCAATTGTTCTTTGACCTCTACGACCTCGTTTCCTATGTCCACAATGTCGTCGACATCCGTGCCATCTATTGGAGGGCTCTGAGATAAACCCTGAGCCGCGGCTGTTTCGCTTATGGATTTTCCGTCAACGGAGTCAAAATATAAAGGATCTTCTACGCGTTTCAGAGAATCGTCTATGTGTGATCGCTCGAGTTTTTCTTTTTCTGACTGTAAGTGCTCAATAAGTTTATTTTTCTCTATGATTTCCTCAACTTTCAGTTCCAAGTTCTTATCCCTTACATCAAGTTTTGTTTCTAAAACTTTAACTAGTTCCTGTAGTCGACAAACTCCTAATTGCTCTTCCTTAAGTTGTGAAATGGTCTTGTTGTCTTCTTCTGCCTGATCTTCCAAGGCTTTCACCTTCTTGTCGGCTTCCGTGAGCTGCGCTTGAAGATTGTTGATCGTAATTTGAAGTTTAGAGTTACTAGTGTTCAGTCTTTCCATCTCAAGTCGCGTTTCTGCTTGTTTCATTTTATGCTCCTGTTCTTTTTCATCGCATTTTTTTATTTCGTTCTGAAGTTCATTTTCATATCTTTGGTTTTCGTTCCTTGTATCCTCGATTGTAGCTTGCAAATCAGATATTTGAGTCATATAACTCTCGATGTCGCCATCGTTTTGCCTGGTTTTGTCTTTTGTCTTTTCTAAAGAATTCCTTAGGTCAATAAGCTCAGATTCGTACCTCGCGATTTTCTCCGCTGCAGCGAGATTTTCTTTTCTTACGTCTTCAAGAATAGCGAGCAGATCAGAGATTTGGAGCTTGCATCGTTCGTTGTCTTTCATGATTGCTTCCTTGTCCTTTCCGGCCTGTTGCAGACAGCTACTTAGATCACAAATTTCGGATTCATTTTCCACAATATGTCTCCTGGCTGCTAGATTTTCTTCCCGTTCTTTTTCAAGCGAAGCTTGCAGGTCGGAATTCTGAGTTTTGTAGCGCTCTATTTCACGACGAGTGGCATCAGCTTCCTCATATGCTTTATCTAAAGATTTCTTCAGACCAGAGATTTCTGATTGATGTTTTTCTGCTGCAGCTCGATTCTCCTTCCTTTCTTTGTCAAGACAGGTTTGCAAGTCGGAGATTTCGAATTTGTACAACTGGTACTCTTTCGTTACATTGGCGCTCTCTTTCTTTGATCGACCGAGTGAAATCCTTAGATCAGAAATTTGTTGTTTATATCCATCAATTTCCTTTAAATTGTCATTGTTTTCTTTCTTCATATTATCAAGCGACTCTCTCAAGCTCTCCGACCGGGATTTGTATCTTTCAATTTCTTCATTTGCCCACTCGTTGTCTTTAATTTTGACTTCGAGCGAAGCTTTCAAATCTAAAATTTCTGACTTATCCTGTCGGATCTCTTCTGTAGCGCTAGCATTCTCTTCCCTAATTTTGTCAAGTGACGCCTCCAGAATCAAAATCTGTGACCTGTATTGAGCAGTTTCATCCAGAGCATTGCGAGTTTCGAGTTCTGTGTTTTCCAGATGTGATTTCAGTTCCAAATTTTCAGTCTGGTACAGTTCAATTTCCCTTTTAGCGGCTTTGAGTTCTTCATTAGCGTTGTCCAACAAGGCCTTTAACTCTGGAATTTTGGATTTTGATCGCTCAACAATTTCATTTGCATTATCTTTTTCCGCCTTTGTTTCATCCAGAGAAATTTTTAAGTCTAATATTTCAGATTTGTATCCTTCAATCTCCTTCTCCGCTCTGAGAAAATTTGTCTTTGAAGCTTCGAGAGAAATTTCTAAGTCATTGATTTGAGATTTGTATAGTTCAGTGTTTTTTAAAAAATGAGCATTTTCTTCCCTTATGTGATCAAGTGCTGCGTTCAGTTCTGAAATTTGTGATGTGAGATTCTTGGACTTTTCTTCCGTTTTCAGTTTTTCCTTAGTTGTTTCTTCTAATAAAGCAGTTAATTCCACAACTTTTGTTTGTAACTGGACATTTTCTCTGGCAGCCCAATCTTCTTCCTTGACTCTTTCATCTAAGCGAGCAGTCATTTCAGAAGGCTTACCTTCATGCAGTGCTATCTCCTCTCTAGCTTTTCGCAAATCTTCTTCCTTCCTATAGAGCTCTGTTTCCATTTCTCTACTCTGTTGCAATGAAGTCGCCAGATCTTTCTTCATAAGATTGATATATGACTCCAAGATCGAAATCGAGTCGCCGTCCCTCGGTGATACCTCAGACTGAAACTCGTTAGGAATCCGTCGGCCGTCTTCCTTGTCAAAAATGAATTTATGATTCACGTTTTTTGTTTCATTTGTACTGACAAGCTCTTGCAAGGTACGAGCTTGCTGAGAATCTGGGGGTCCCTTTTCAAAATGATTTTTTCTCTCATTTTCTAGGCTTGATGTGAAATTGTTCCCAGCTTCAAGCAGTAATTGGGGGTTCTCTTTTTCCAAATTCCTTATGATAATTTGTATCTCTTGCTGTTGTTTTTCAAGCTCATTCAGCAGCTCCTTGTTCCTTTTTTCTTCTTCTTCTTTTTCCTTCCTAGCCTCCTCTAGGGACGTCCACAGCTCTGACACTCGCGTGGGATAGTTAAAAGGCATACTGTCTTCTCCACCCTCGGCAGAATCTTTCGTTCCTTCCCGTATATTTCCTAGCTCATTTACAAGGTTTGCGATCTCTTTGTCTTGCTTTCCGAGAATCGCTCTAAGTTCTTGGTTTTCTTTGTTCAAGGCTTCTCTTGTCTGTTTAAAATCTGTGAAAGTTTCTGGTCCCTTGGCAAGTTGGTCGCTACTTTCTACCTGAACTGCTTTGTCTGCTCGCCGTACCAACTTCAACTTTGTTGTGGTAACTTTGCGCTCCTGTCTACCTCGAAAGTCGGTGGGATCTAATGACCTCCTCCTTTCTAAACGTTGCAGAGAACTTTCCCATCCTTTCGGATCTAAGGATAATGTTCTTCTTAAAGTTCTTCTGCGTAGATCCTCCTCAGATTGAATTCTCTGCAGCGGTCTGGGACTCGGTGGTTCGTTACCAACTCGTACTGCTTTTTCTGCCCGTTTGAGAGGAGAACTTTCTGTGCTTGGTTCTAGGGAGGGGCTGTTACTTCTCCTTGCAAATGTCTCCTCCTTTATAACACAAGCCTTTTGCTCTAATGCAGGTTGGTTGTTAGGTGTAAAATTTAATTCAACCCTATAGGGTCGATCTTTGGCCTTTACCTCTGGCTGTACCATCTCCTCTCGTCTTTTTGCGGAAAGCTCTTCTTTTGTGGCCTCTAGCTCTTCCTTAAGATTAGACGTTTCAGTGCTTGCTTCCCTTAAATGTTCCTCTATTACTGAAATTCTCTTTTCTTTTTTCTTGAGTTCTTGCTCCATTTTATCATTTTCCAGGCCTCTGCTATCCAATAGACTTTCCAAATTAGAGAGACTGGTACGAGTCTCAATCAGCTCATCTGAAAGCATTAGCTTGTCTTCTAGTACTTCGGCCATTTTTTGCTTCATTGAAAGAATTTCAGCCTCTCTCGGTGACACAGGGGTGGTGGCGTCCCCATTAATCCTTCTCTCCATAATGTTTATGACACTTTCAAGCTCTGACTTTTCAGCTTGAGATTCCCTTCGAGCTAGAATGATACTGTCAACTTTTGCATCTGCTGCCGAAAATTTCCTGATAGATCTTAGTTTGTCTTCATCTTCTCTCTTTGAGATTTGCGCCAGTCTTAGCTCGTCCGACAAATCTTTGAGTTCGCCCTCTAGTGATTTTAACTGTGTTCCAACTTTGTCCTCTAGCCTTCTGGATGCCTCCACATATGAAGATTCTATCCTGTCTAAACCTTTGATCTGGTACTTCGCCTCTTCGATCAACTTCGACATTTGCGAGCTCTCTGCGTTGTCCTTCCCCAGCCGCGATTTCAAGCCCTCAGTAACGATTCGCTCAGTAGCTGTGGCCAGCTTTTCAATGGGGATACTTTTGTCTGAGCTTTTGTTATTTTTGCTTCCCATAGCAACCTCTAAGTCTTTGCGCAAGATTTGCTTTTCCTCATCTGACAACAAATACGAGCCTCGTCTCATCTTTCTTGGTGATATTAACCCGTACTTCTTGAATTGTAGATCTTCTTCGCTGTCTTCTTTCATAAGATCCTCTAACACTTGCTTTTGCACATGAAACTTCTTCGAGGTTACACTGTGCGTCAAAATCTCATTTTGCAATTGCTGTAGAAAATGTCGTAGCCGTGTTCCTTTGTCAACGCTTGTCTGTAAAAGATGAGCATACTTCCGAACGGCTTCCGATCTCTGCACCCGAAGCTCTCCAACTTTGGCTTCCTGAATCCGAAGCTTGTTTCGCAACTCGTGTAGTTCGTTATGTAGGCGTTTATTCGACTCATTCATCATCTTCACTTGTCTTTCCAGAATTTTATTCTCCGTCTCTAACGCAGTTGTTTTCGATCGTAGTTTCCGCATTTCTTCGTTGTGCTTGTCATTCTCTTTACGTTTATCAACAAGTTCTTGATCCAAGAGATTTATCTCATGTCGCAAATTTTCAATAGTCATGTCTTTCGTTTCCGATAGTTTCTTCTCTTTCAGAAGGCTATCGTTGAGCCTCTTGATGGTGTCTCGAGCCTCTTTCAGATCATTGATTGCTGCAAGGGGGGTTGCAGTCTGCACCAGCGACATTGTGATTTTGAACCAAGGCTCCGAACCAGCTGGGGTATCTAGTGATTCCTTTCGCCCTCTCTCAGTTTGTTGCAAATCTGTTTGGCTTCTTTTCTTCCTTCTACTTTCCTTCTCTTGATTCACACAAAATTCTTCGGTACTTTTTCTTGCTTCTTGCTCCTCTTTACTTAAAAACTGTACTGTCAATTCTTTCCCTACCTTACAAAAACTGGGGATTGTCCTGATTCTTAAAGAATTCCTCAGTAAATCAACACTATCTTCAGCTTTGTTGCTGGAAGGCAAATATTCTTCAGATCGAGACCTTCGTATTGCCCGACCGTGTGATAAGGATAGCACATGCAAAGTACGATGGCGGCTCATATCTGTTAAAAAATAATGAGAAAAAAGGTGAACAATGAACACTGACTGTATGGTAAACTTACTGGATTATTCAAGATCGCTTTTCGATATTTGATATTTGTTGACAATGTTTGAAGCCCTCCTTGGGTCCACTCGATTATTTTGGTTTAGATCGGTATTAGAAGTGTACATCATAACTTAGATTAAGGACATTCGGTTTTCGAGTTCTAGCTAAACTCATTAATGTCAAGTGTCAGGTTTAAGTAATGATCCTTACAGGTCAGCTTCAATTTTAGCAACTGCAGAAAAGAAGTCTAAAAAAAATTCAAGCTTCGACGGGATTCGAACCCCGTGTACCTCTCAAAGGTAGGATGGAAAAATTACGGAAAAAAACAAGTGCTTTGTCAATAACTGATTCATTGCGAGTCAGCCGTGAAGTTTATTTACAAGCCTTGTCGAATGATAATTCAATCAATCAAAACAATGATCTGTTTAGCACCATTTTAGTCGCTTTCATCACACCATTTGAAAGCTAATTCAGGTTGAAGTAAATAAAAATGTGATAAAAACTTCCTTTTGATTCAATTTTGATTTTACAGGAAATGAACGAAATAAAGTCGTTTCATATGGTAGATGAGAATATACCTGGACCTAACTGGGATTTGGTAACGAACCATACGCCTTCCTTTTCAACGTAGCATTTTCTTTTTAAACTAAATTTCCATGGAAATATTATTTTTTATTCCCTCATACTTGTTGTGCGGTCAACCATCGTAAAGGTCGAACGCCTTCTACACAGCTGTCCGCCAATCTTAAATTAACAACGACGAGATAAAAAAAGGGTTTACTATTTCAATAACACAGCGGAGACGGAAACAAAGGTCGGCATTGTACCATGGATTGTCACTTAACCTTTTGTTCTGGTGAATCAATCCGTAGACTTAAAAAGTTGTGTTATTTGTTTGTGTCGCCTGCAGTCGACAGCCCTACATGAACAGTGTGTTTAAGGGTCTTTCTTCTATCTGAACTTGTTTACAATGTTTTCTTGTTGTTTTGTATTAGTTTCAGGAGGCCTTTGTGAGAGTCTTGATTCAAGGACCCATAAGACTGAATAATTATGTGGTTCGAAAGTGTTGTACTAGTCCTTAGTTGTTAATATATCCACGGACACTAACTTACATCCAAACGGTGGTCACATTTGCGTGGTTCTGTCTTATCCTCAACTTAAGAAGGAAGGATACATTGAACTACGTTTCATCGTGTAAAATTTTTTAGACATTCTGTTAGATATCTTCGTTACAATCTGATATTTCAAAATTTATAATGTTTTAATTGGATAAATTATCAAGAAGATCATAACTGAGTGGAGGAGCTATGAAGTAATTCAGCTTTCTTCCTCTCAACGAAACCTCCTAGGGTCGGAGATTCTGTACACCTGATACGGATCATGAGTTTAATGACCTGTTCGACAACTTTCCTATCACGGAAAAAAATCAGACTACTGAATCGACTAATCATCTATTTCAGAAAAAGGTGCAAAAGAGAAAAAATTATTTTGTTTTTCAAAAACAATAGTTATGCCAACAATGAGAGAATAAAAAAGTACGATGTTCGTTTTGTGGAGTAAGAATCAGTCGATTGCCTACATGTTTTGATAAGATGCTTCGTAGGAAAGACTGTCCATTACATACCCTGCCTTGAACCCATTGTGTCTTCCTTAATTAAGCACCAATTTCGAAGTTTTGCAATAGACTTAATTTTTTCTTTTAGACACAGCTTGACACTATCCTAAAAGTAGCTCACACTGTCTTATTTCATCCTGTGTGCCAGACAATGGAAGCGTTAATTTTTTAAAGCAATATAGTGCAAAGGCTTTTTTTACATTTTAGCGGGTGCACTCGTCGTACAAATGCAACTTTTTAGCGAGCCATACTTTTCATTTAATGTTTGAGTAGCTAGCATTTTGGGGCCACTTAAAGGAAATTGGTACCTCAAAGACTACGAAAATGTTACGCGCCATTTACAAGTGCGATGCACTCAAAGCTATGAATATTGCGGATGTCACGGTTTTGAATTTGCAACTCAGGCTGTCCACTCTGTTGACTCTAGATTGACATTTTCCCTCATATTTTTCTATAGAACCGCCCTCTTGACGCATCAAACGAATTTTTTTCTCGCAATGCAGTTTTTTTAACCGATTCCTGGTTCATCATAACAGTGAAGAGCTGATCGAATTTCTCTTGACAACACAGTGCAGCGGCCGATTTAATGTCACTTGTCGAATCGAATATTGCTCGCATAGTCATAAAGTCAAGCACTCGAGAAGGAAAGAAATTTTCGTCAGCCACGACCGGTTTCGCAAGAATTTTGCTTTCGCCCGTTTTTAACAAAACCAAGTTCTTCATTAGTTTGTCCGTGAGAAAGCGAATTTCGCGACAAGCCAAGAACGGTGTTTGTACCTATGATGAGTCAAATATATAGGAAATGATTACCCTAAAACAATCGGTCGCATTGATTATGTTTCTAGTGAAGTATTCGCTATAGTATTTAGATCATTTTAATGTCGTGCCTGTTTCGTTTAACTAACTTCTACGAACAATCCTCGCATCGTTAACTTATCAACAACGAATCATGAAACGTTTTGTTTACCTAATTTCCATTCAGTAAGTAGATGTTGTTGCCTTAAGTACTTATCGTCCAGAGTCTTCTGACAACACCGTCAGCCGTTAAGTAAATTCGCCAGCGTGTATACGATTTCAAACTACCTTTCCATCAGCCGCACTAATCTAAGCAAAACTTTGATACATAAAGTCAAGTTCATCTAACTCTAAAAGCATGCTGCGAACCACGCTGAGAGATTTGTTTAAAATCTTCACAAGGAAACAACTACAGAACCTTGCTCTTTAAAACAAGGTTATTCTTATGAGCTATCTACACAAAATTCTTACTTACATTAGATCCTCGAGCACTTCCATCGTAGCTTGAACACAGCAGTACCAACGTGATGGGATATTTTTCTTGGCCTGAGTCAACCTTCAGTTCAGACGACGCCGAACAAATCGGTAATGAATGTGTTACGTGTATTTGAAAGACTCAGCTGAATGCCTTAAACCCATCGTGCATAAACTATGAAGGCATAATTAATGGTTGCGAAATTAACTACGTAGTAACTTGACGTAGTGAACAGGAAAATTTCAGGGAAGATTGTTTTCATTTCCTTTTTGATGGGGCTACAGCTTTCTAGGGCTCAAATTTTTCTTTTTTCTTTTCCAAGTTTTTAGAGCTATAAGTTGTAAGATTGTTCGTGCTGGAATGTTTTGATACCAATTAATTGAAGAAAAAAAGCAGTTGTTATTATTTGAAAGACATGGCTGATAAATTTCGCGCGTTTTTTTCGCGGGAAATAGTTTAAAAGCGTCTAACTGGCTAATCATGAACTGTTCATATTCAATCTTCTATGAAAACTTAAAAACTTATTTCCCAAGTAAAAGAAACATTTTGAAGAAAAGTGCTCTTTTTTTTGGAAAGGTCATAACAGCCAGCCGGGACGCGCACGAAATTGTCTTGATTTGTCATATCCTGCCCGAAGCATTATGTTCCAAAGTTGACATTTCCGCGAACGCTTTCATGTACGTACGAAAAAAATACATTTTTCACACCAAAGCTTTCTCACACGGCAAACTTAACAAGTTTTTATTAGTGAAAAGTGAATAACATTCAAACCGGTAAACAATTAAAAAACAGACTAAACAGCTTTCATAATTATACGAGTTCGCTCTGTGCTGGAAGCTAGGCGTCCCTGTCAAACAATAACAGCCAATCAAACTAAGTGCGTGCAAATGTAATTGTACTGAAACAATTACTCTGACGGATGGGAGTAAGGCTCTCCACAAAAAAAGAATTATCAGAATGCAGTTTTGATGAGTCTTTGCACATTTCCTTTCACGATTTTGAAAGCGAAATGTGGAAACAAAGTAGAATCCAACACACAGAAAGTTTAGACAACGTGATTACTGAACCTTTTAATATGGGGTTAAAGAGTCTGTTGTCATGACAATAAGAATCTGCGCCACATTAACAATTGCGCGCTTCACTTCCGATAAATATTAAATACAAATCGCTTGATTCCGAAAGGCTATCAAAACGTGACGTATCCCAAGAAAGATTTCAAAGAAAACGAAAAAGGTGGTACGTTTTACGGTAGTTAAGGTTGCATGTTACTTCCCTGAGTAAAGCGATATCTATTTATGGCCGTCATTAGTAACAGTCATGGTTAGAGGAAACATTAAAACCTCCTAACACGTTCTAGAACATTTTTCGAATTCTTGGGGCATAACGGTTCAACTGGTTCCTCGTGTTTTGAATAACCTCTTCAAGTGTTAGGAATTGTTAAAAGGTAAAAGGTTACTTTCCTAACAAATTTACTTCAGATATTTTTAGCAATTCTCGGTAAGTGGCTTTTAACCATCGTCTGGCCGCGAAAAGTAGCAACCAATGGAAACTTAATACAATTTTCACACCAGGCCGACTTTTCAAGCGTTCTTGCCAAGGGTTTGTGTCGCCAAAAAAAGAAAAACTGCAAAAGCTATTTAATCAAAGCCAAAAGGTAATTCTACAAACAAACAATTAATCAAACGAACAAAGTTTACAGATTAAAGTACAACATGAACAAAAATGAAGTATTTTTTTAAACCGCCCTGTCCATCATTTCCATTTTAAACATCAATTTGATCTATACTTGCCGCCCGCAATTGCATGGAACCTACCTTATGACAATTTTTAACAGATCGTGCATTTAATACATACTGAACAGTTACAATGTTTTTGTGTGGATACTCATAAAATCGATCCTTGGATTGCGGATTCCGTTTCAAAAATGAAATGATTTCAGTAGCCAATTTACTAGCCGTTTCAGTGTAGCGTTGATATGACACTCCTCGCGAAACCACTCCACCGCTCGGATATGAAAAAGATTCAAATGAAAAAAGATAGAACAAAACCTTCAAGAGCTCGTCATACTACCATGAATGTAAGGAAATGTGACTCCTTAAAAAAAAATAAAACATATCCAGGGATCTTCAGGTAGTATTCCTTGACATCGCTGGACGCAAAATCTTTTTCACTATGATTACAAACGGAAAACCAACCTGAAGCTCGCTCGCTTTTCCATGTTAAAGTTTCCATCAGTAATAAAACTCAATAAGGTGAACAAGGCCTTTAAACAAAGTGTTAGATCGAATTTCATGAAACTTTAGCCCACTTTTGAGCCAAATTTCACTGACGTCAAGTAAACCGCTATTTAACTAAAAATAAATATCCCAGTGACAAAAATTTAACCAACACTAGATAAGTGCCTGCATCTTTATTGGATTGGCTGAGAACACCTGATAACCATTTCAAAGTTCGAGCTCATTTTCAAAAATCCCGTGGACAACTTAAGACTCCGCATATACTCAAACTTTTTTCATAAAATATGATATAATTTAAGTGGAGATAACAAATTATGAAGTGTGAATTCCTTCCTAACAATATGAAAAAGGCTCATTGCTCGTAACGCGAGGTGCAATCCTCTAACAAATTGAAACATCTTTACACTGACAAACGTAAGGGCTAAGTTTGCCTTCGGCACGAATCCATAGTCAATCCTACGAAAGTGGTGTGGAGTAATGGTTTACGCAGATCTTAAATCTCTCAATGACAAAAGAAACGAATAGTTCATGCTCGAATAAAAGATTTATCCCCTGGACTTCTTCAATGACCCATTAGTGTTTAAAAGATATACCATTTCAAAAAAAAATACACACAATGCGAGGAGAATTTATTGAAATGCTGTGGTGAAGTGTCATTATGGTGGCGACGTCTCGTCTAGTCCTTTTAGTTCAAAAGATGTATTTAATTTCCCTTCTAAACTTTTGTTTCCACTAAAAGCTAATGGCATCGGCTTGAATTTCACTTAAATCTGGTGCAAGTGAAAAAGAAAGAAAATGAATACAGTGGAACCTCGATTTAACGAACCTCTACATGACAAAGTCCTCGGTATAACGAACGATACTTCAGTTCCAGCCCGGCTAAAGTTACAGTAAAATGTTTGCCTCGATATAACGAACCCTCGATATAACGAACCCTCGATATAACGAACCCTCGATATAACGAACCCTCGATATAACGAACCAATTTCCCCAGTCCCTTAACATTTCGTTAAATCGAGGTTCCACTGTAACATAGTAATCTTTGGCGAAGACAAGAGAGAGCTTTATCTTTGATGAATTTTGTCTACCGTATGGATAAAACATTTTGAAATATTTTTTGTAGGAAACAATTTTATTAAATATTTGTTATAGATTTTTTGACACGTGGACATCTCCGTGTAGTTAAACACCCATCTGTCCGCAGTACTCAATTTATTGATACTTAGAAACTTCCCTGTTCGGTTAAAATTATTTCCGTAAGATCTAGTGCGATTTTTGCTTCGGTTGCTTACGGTTATATCTTAACTCTAGTATATGATTGATTCTAGAACAAAATCATCCGTCGATAGAGCCATAATGTATGAAAACGTGTGGTGACCTAAGGTCTACCGCACGATTCACGTTTATAGTAAATATAGTCGATTGTTGCAGGCTAGATAGTGCTGAATAAATGACAACATTGACCTACGTTCTCTCGAAGTATACTCGTACGTTCAAGCAGATATTTTGCGATGGCAACTGAATGATACTTGAATTGTTTGCAAAGATCTCTGTACAAGATGACAAGAATTTGCAAAGACGGAAACACATCAAGGACATTCCCAGGAAGGTGATATTGGGTATAATTTTCTATTTGTGTTTCTTTGTTTGTTTACACATTTACGTGGAATTGAAAATATATTTTTACCGGCTACTTACCAAAAAGTGTTTGTCAGACTTCGTACAGAAAAGAAGATCATCGATTCTTCGAAAGCGGTGCGAAAAATTGGAGAAGTCTCCTGCTAAACGTCAGAAACAAAGTCGTCACTCAATATTTTGTAATTCTCATGAGAATACAATTGTATTGCAACTCTTAAAAGCCTTGATTAGCATATTTATGGTAACGGATAAGTTTATATTTTTTCTTTTACGTCGAGCGCTGCGTGGTTTCCTCGGCCAATATCATTTGTGACTCTCTGCCATTGAATAACACAAATGAAAATTATCATAATCACTTGAAAACAAAGAAGAGGACTTTGCCGAAGGCGCAAGAAGTTGACAAGCAAAAAGAATACGTATTTTTTTTTTAACACCAACCAGGTATTTCTGTTTCAAATTTGGACTTCAGATCGTACATACCAATTAATTCGACCCGCGGGGGGCAAAAGACATAAGATTCACACTGAAATAGACAGTTCGTGTATGTCTTAAATCTTAACTAATCAATCGACTATTCGTCAGAGGTTGTTTTAAATTTCAGGAAATCGCGTACGGAAGTGTTATATTAGTCAGAAGTATTGCTTTATGATTGTCACAGTTTATTACTTAGATTTTCGAAAATTTAAATTTGCTTAATTCAAAATGTAAATTTGAGGGATTTCTCATTACTTTACAATAGGTTCAAACGCTTTCACTTGGGATAAATGGAAATTTCGAATATGTTCGCCTAAATAACGAGAATTTTCCACAGAGCGAAACTAACTGTCAACTTTTCTTAGAAATTTTAAAACCACAAGGTCATTAAAAGAAGTTCGTATCTGAGGTTTTTTTTAATGAACAGCCTTCTCTTGCTGCCAGTTTGTTGTCATAGCACTTTCCCACCATAATAAGTTATAATTCGTGTAGCCGCAAACTTTCCAGCACAATATTTTGAACGCCTGCAGTTCATCACAAAAGATCTTATCATGATAAATTTTCCATTCTGCTGACAAGCATAGAAGAATACAGTAGCACAGAGGTAAAAACAGATTATTTATAATATCTTGGTGATGTTGTTTCAATTGAAGCCGTGCTCTGTTAAAAATATACTGCGGTTGAGTTATCTTGTTATTAAGCATTGAGCATTTTTCCATGAATATCATTGGTCGACATTATAATTACAAAAGGGAAGAGGATTTGCTATTCTCCTTCCTTAGAGAAAATTCACGTTCAATTTTATCACGATGAATCAGTGTTGAAAGTGACACTAAATCTTTATAGCAAAGCAAGAAACGTTACATTTTTTCTCATTTGCCTGAACGCACAAACATAAAATGGAATTTATTTCACTTTTTAGCTTTTGTCCCACATTCTATCTCTCGAGTGATAGAAGTGATAGAACCCGGGCATGCGCAGTCGCTCGACTTCTAGACCCAAAGCCAATACTCTGTCAATCATTTCCCAATCTTCCCCGCCCCATTTGTCTCGGAAGTCCCGGACGTTCATCCCTCCAAACCTGTCCCAATCCGACTTGAAGATACCTGCAATTTAGAAAATAATTGTTTCGTTCAGCACTTGGCACGGAGTAGTAAATATTTGTCTTCGCAACTGTTCTCATTATGAAGAAATTATCATTTTAGAACCCCATGAGTGACTTTTTTTATTCGGTGGGAAAAGTTATATTTGAAGCGGTTCCGCTACACAAGGACAGAATTTACATCCTGAATTTTTCATGCATATGTTAACATCGATTTTCTTTCATTGAAAATAAGATTTATGGCAGATTTTGCAGATTTTCCAAGAGACAATTTTTTTTAAATATGATATCGAATTTCATTGGAAAGTTATCTTACTGAATATTCCGAATCCAAATGTTTCCCAGTAGCCTTTGGATTGGGTCGTCTTTGTCAGCGGTCTACCACAGAAGGTTAACCTGAAGAGGACTGGGGTGAACGCCATCCTTCCCTCTACTGTATGCTGCGCAAGTGCAAAACTGATAAGCACTTCAGTTTATTTTCTATAATTCGTATCGTTGTAAGTATTTCTTAAACTGGCTTTCATTTTGAGCACGTCAGCCTGCGAGCTCAAAAGCTTGCTTACCACTTGAGAAATGTGGTGATCAAGATAAACATGGTGAACGAGACAACCTCTATAGTCAAAGGTCAAAATGGACATGACAGGAAAGCAATAAGACTTGAGTGTCTTTCAAGGATTGGGTTACTGAAATTCAGGGTTTAAGATGCATAGGCAGAATTCTCCAATAAAGTGTGGTGAGGGGGAGATTGTCCTTCGCTCAGGTTTGGGGAGGTGTCAGTTTTTTTTTTTTTTTTTATTATCATTTTCATAATCAGCCATACTTAACAAAAATTTTTATCACTCGCACTATAAGCTCCCTCCCCGTGAATTACTCCGTTGACATTTTCAGAAAAATGTTTTATCATGATTATTGGTATTGCTTTTGTAGCCTAAAGTAAAGCTTCAGTTCAATACCTATGACTTAATTTAAGCGGATTTTTATAGAAAAACCACCAATGGGATCAAATTTTCAGTGAACCAAATCAAATGATATCTGTCACCGTGATAGTAGATGCATGTGAGTTTCTGCGGCATCCTTGTTAAGTGAAGGCGGCCTGTACCCGTTTATTCACCTTTCTTAAAGATATCAACGATCTATTTTGGTTCTGAACCTACGCGTTGGCCTTAAAACCGTTTCCTTACCTTTCTGATGGCGCTAAAGAAACTGGTCGGTGTCCGAAGATGAAGATCGAACAACAACACAATACTATGTGGATCTGTAATGGTACTGTCTGCTGACTGAATAGCTTCTGTTTTGTGGAACGCCCCGCTACGCTTCAGGACTCTGTAGTTCGTCAAAGAACTTCTGTTGGAAACAGTATTCACAAATTAACTTTCTGGCTCACGCATCAAAAAGTTTTAAATAGTCTAATAAAACGGTTTTCCAATAGTTTTTCCAAACAACAATTTTGCTATTGTAATCCGTCTGTGTTTACTCACTGCCTTAAAGACTCCTCTATATCAATATCCTTGTTTTCATAGTCTACCACAATTATGTTCACGTGATCTTCACGCGTCTCTTTCGTAATCCGGGACATCTCGTGGATAAAGTGTTGGGCCCAGTTTCCTTGGTTCTTCACGGTCAGAATTACATTTATTGTCACGTTCCTATTCCAAGTAATTCCCGCTGGCTTACAAAGTCTGGAACTGTTGTTGAATTTGTACACAAACTCCGATAGCTTTACGATCGTGTTCCGAGCCCTTTCTCGAAAAATGAGCTCGAGTAGATATCGATTTCCACGCAAGGTGTCTTGGGTTTTTTCGACGTTGACGATGGCCTTTAAATTGTATTTCCTGGCATGAGAAAAAGGACAGTCATTATTAATTTAATATACTGCATACTAACTATATGACATTAAGAATAGTTGAGCAGAAATCTGTTCATGGCAAATTATTATTTAATTAGTTTACCGAGTCCAGGAGGTATCAGTTGAATCTAGGAAATTCTAAGACCAGACCTGCTTTATGATATCAAGGTAACGCAAGTTATCGGATATGTTAGGCTCTGTTTTCAAATGTTATATTCTTTCAAAGGTCTAAAATAATTTGCAAGTGCAATATTTGCCGCAAATTTGTGCTTGGTGCAAAGTTTTTGTGACAAGATTCTACCAATTATTATATGTTTATAGCTTAATCGATTACGCTCTTTTAAACTGCCTAAAGATATCAGTGAGTTAAAAAAAAAAGTAGATAAACAGAACACTCTGACTATACTTGGGATATTTTTCTTCAATGGTCTTTGTAAACGTCCGAATAATTTCTAGTATTTCATCTTCAGTAATAAAACTGTTTCCATCACAATCTCTTTTCAGTCTGTTTTCGATGCATATGAATTCTTTCGTGCCGTCATCTGGAAACACAGAGCTAAAATGTGTTTGCCAAATTCCTTCAAAACGTTTGAATGTTCTTTTCTTGGCATATGTTGGTTCGTAAGTGCAGCTCGGAAAAACATATAATATTTCCTGAGATACATCTGGAAGTTGATCAAAGGTCAACAAGTCGTACTGATTTTCGATGTTAAAATCCTCTCCAAAATAGGATGAAAATTGGTTTGAAGGTTTGTTGTGTTTTCCGGGTATTTCTATTCCTTCGTAATCCTCGTCGCCTTCCCCAGAGTCAACATCATTCATTTCCGAGTCGATGACGCTGGAAGGTGCTCGTAACAAATCATTACGTTCTAAGAACGCTTCATGATTAAGAAAAGAGGACTCGTCCTGCAATAGAGGTGTGAGAAACTCGGAAGAAATTTTGGTAAAAGCCTGACTTCCCGGAACCAACCACGTGACATTCACGTGATCGCGACTCATCATTCCTCCATTCATCACATGAAGTACATCAAAGAAATATTTCCCTTCTTTTTCGAGATATATTTTCCGCGATGTGTGGCTAACAGGCGTGGCTGAGGAGTGTTTTGTGTTTTCTATCGCAATTTTTGCAACCAATTCAACATCCATCGCGTTCCGTTCCTTGCCAAGCCATAGTTCAGCGAAAACATGTGCATTTAAGTGAAAAGTGAAATTTCCAGTGATAGGAGGATGCACGAATCCCATAATTCTTTGTCCGTACCAGGTCCCCAACGGACCAGAGTTGATGGTGTGACGTAAAAAGCGTTCATGTGGTAGACACGGAAATAAAGGGTACTGTCTTAAGCTATTTACTTTGGGACAGCACAGCCCTCTCCAGAGGTGAACATTAACATGTCCTCTGTAAATTCTGGAATTGACGTCACTGATTTTAGCAATTTCGCCTCTCTTCACGTTGATATCTAAACGTGCATCTTCCATCTTTTCAACGATATGGAATCTGACATCATTTTCTATGAGAGTCGGTTTAACTCCTCCCCAGTCCCTAACTCGGCCATCAATGTATGCGCTTTTACTAGATGCTGTGTTTCTCGTCGCTTGCCAGTATTTCGATGTTGAAGTCCTTGAAAATTGCACCGACTGCTGTCTTTTGTGTCGAACGACCAGAGCAAAAACGAGAAAGAATATTATCCCGGAGAGCCATTGACATGCATAGAGCCGACGAAATCTTCGGCGAATCTTTGTAAACATGTACCTCTAATAATCCCGTTTGAACTGAATGAAGTCCTCTCTCTCGTTACAGTGTGGAGGAAAATTTTCCTTCCCGTGAATAACTTAATTTTGACTCAGGCGAGTCATGAATTATTTCAAAGGCGTGGCTCGATTTGGGCTAATGGAAGACGTATTGAAAACAACTACAATGGTTGATGCCTAGTTCTATAATAAAAAAAGTCTTGGTCGACTGGTATGTACCAGCTGAGAGCAAAGCATTGATTTGTTCTTTTTTTCTCGCTACCTGCTAATGTTAAGCACGTGAACAAATATGCAAGCCACCTCAGAATTAACGGAGAATCGCTCTTCGAGTTAACGGCCGGGAAATCATTGAGGCATTTTTCCATCTCTTTACCCTATATTCTTGAATCTACTTTTATATGTCAACCGTATATCCAACTTGGACATGTTAGATACAGTCTATGCGTAAATAAATATGAATGAATAAGTAAACTATTCGAAATTCCTTTTTTTTTCAGAGTAAAACTATTGGATAGCAACATTTTTCTGGTATTTTTGCCACTATTCCAATTTTGATCGCCAGTTCAACAGAAATTTTCTTTTTTGTTTTTCTAAAAAAGAAACGTGTCCAAAACTCTAAAAAGAGCTCAAGAAAGTTCCCCATGGTACTTTAGATTACCCAGTTGATGTTTCAATTGTTATAAAGGAAACAGAAAAAAAAGCAGAAAAAGAATTATGGTAATAAATGTACATGGAATGATTGCCAGTTCAATAGGAATTTTTTTTTTTTTTTTTTCTTAGAAAAAACGAGTCCAAAATTAAAAAAGAGAAAAAAGCAAGGTTCCCTTGGAATTTACACTACCCAGGTGATGTTTAAATCGTTAAAAACGAAGCACAATAAAAGAAAAAAAAACGGAAAAAGAATTTTGAAAATAAGTATGAATTAAAAAGAATGTATCGATTCATCCGATGGTAAGATGGAGGAGGCAGTTGACAAAAGTTAGATTTTCAGTAGAATAATTAAAGACATAATGACAACAGCAACTATTTGCATGACAACAACAGGATATTCCAGTGTTACAAACAGTCTAATTAGTATTAACGAAACCTTTCAAGGAAAAATGGAAATTAACAAATTAATACTACAACATTACAAATTTTTTTGTTATGGTAATTTCGTTTGTCCGGAATTTCAAAGCATGACAGAATGTAAGGTGAGTTATAAGATTTTAATTGCACGCAATGAATATAGAAGTTTTTATTTTTCATAAAATCTCTCTTGTTGAAGAGAATTTCGGGTGTATAGCCGAAAATTGCAGGGGGCGCATATCCTATCTAAATCGTGTACCTACCTTTGTCAACACGGAGTTTTTAGCCGCTTGTTTTTTTCTTTTAAGGTATATTATTGCTATTCTAGAAAGAGATTTCTAGATAACTCTTAATAGGCAGAGAGGCTGTAGTCTTTTTTTTTTATTTAATGAAAGAATTCAAAATTTTGTCCGTGTAGCTGTAGTAGCGGAACCGGAATTTCAAGAACTAGTTCCAGGTTGAGAAACAATACGTGAAAAACAATGGAATACTACAATCCAGCTAAGATTGTTTTTCATGGTGTGAAAGCAAACATAGACGAACAATACTGTCTCTATAATAAAAATTTTTTGCAAATAAACGATTTACTAAAACTAGGAGGTCGCCTTGATGTTACGGCTACTTCAAGGATTTTACAATGATAGGCTGAAGTCCATCAGTAAAAAAAGAGCTATTGTCTTCGATTTGCGTTTGTTTAGCAACGAAATTTTCACAGGTCTCAGAGATATTCATTTACGGTCTTTTCATGAGATGTTACACCTTTTATGCACTAATGACGTGAGATGGACATCCGTGTGGTTTCTTAGAAACGTTTTATGCTTTATAACGTATGATAAATTGGTTAATCCACCCAGCTCTTTTTCCAGTTCTTTTAAAATAAATCTTGGAGATTGAAGCAGATTATTTTTGGGACGCTGACTTTACGCGACTTTCACTTCTGAACGTTTGGTTTCTTAGGAGAAATTGATAACTAACCTATTGTTACAGTCGTTATGGTTTTTTTCAAAGGGCAAACTGAACACCTGCCCTTTGATTATAAAAGGAGGTCGATGCCAACGACTTTTGTTTTTCTTGATCTTTGTTAACGTAAGACAAAATCATATATTTTTTTTTCCAAAAATTGCCATGTTTTTGGGGAAAGAAATCTTGTTGTTATCAACGGCACTTCAATTCTTTGGTGCTTTTCCAGTAGATGACCTGATGATGCTTGGTAAGAAGACACTTTTGTTGTTTATTTATCGTTGCATGCAGCCTGTGTTCAGTTGTTGAAAAAACTTCAAGAACATAAGGTGACCTCAAAACAAGGATTAGTTCAAGACGTTCACAGATGTATTTGGCAGCAAATGTGAGAAATCTTTTAAATTATTATCGAGTAAGTTAATTTCATCGCTGCTTATCCAGGAAATGTCTCAGAAAGTTGTTAGGAAGTCAGGCTTGGTTTATTTACCCTTCCGTGCACAGTTTCTTCAGTTGGTGTAAAAAGTAAAATTCGCTATTGTAAAGCAGGATTACCTTTTCAGTTGTTTGCGTACTCAATTTAACAGCATGATTAAAATCGTCGACTTCGAGTCGGTTAAGCCTTTCGTTTGAGTATAAGGGTTTTTTCCAAACAGATCTCAACTTGATCTTCTTCGAACGTGAGGATCTCACAGGTTATAGCTATCAGAGCTTCCGAAGAGATGTATGTGCCCCCCTCCCCGCCTAAAGGTATCCCTAAAATTTTAATAGTTGTTCCCATGACAATCGTGCGGGATCGAGTCATACACACTCGTTTGTGAGACGCAGTAGCCCAATGTATGTATATTGGACACCAGCTTGAGAAGTCCAGGTTCCACACCTGGTCAGGTCATTTTGTTGTGTTCTTGGAAAAGATACTAGACATACTTGATTCTCACAGTGCCCATCTCCACCCAGGAGTATTGATGGATATCAGAAAACTGTCAGGAAGGTCTGAAAAATTGCTTGGGAGTAGCATTTCGATAGACCAGCATCATCCAAGTGGACCACCTCTCGAACTCTTAGTCGCTTCATGCTACAGAGTTCGGCTGGATGGGCCATTGTGCTCGAGTGCAGACTGAAATCATTTATACTCTTAAGTCAAGAGAGGCAATGAGGGAGACAACTTTTCAGTAAAAAACACGTAAAAAAAATTGTTAAGGCTTGATCATTGATCCCTATCTGGAGCCCGCACGAAAGGAACGACTCGTCTTCCTCTAGACATAATGACTGAACGAACAACTGTTTCCTTGCCTGGGCATTCAGGAACTATCAGAAAACAGATCACAAAATCTTCCCGTCTTCGATAGTTAAATTAAATTCGAAATATTTTAAAAGACATTTAAGGTTGGTGTCGTTAACAGCTATCTGAAAAAGTTATCAAGAATATGCAGAGGCAGTATTTGTTGTAACTGTTATTTGTTTGCTTTCAGAGATCACGTTTTTCTTTTGTCGTGCAATTTAAACGCCTGGTATATCTAGATCGCTTTTGAGACAAAAAGATGCGAAATTTTGTATAGAGGCTGATGTCATTTTTACTATATGTATGGGGTAAAGATAAGTTTGTAAATTAAAATCTCTAACCTGATAACTTTGATCTTTGATTAAAATCGTTTCTTAATTAGCTGGTCGCAATAAGGGAGGTATAACAATTAAATACCCCTTGTTTCATTATTTCATGCAGAATCGGTTCGTAGTCTTCGACGCAATAAAAGTTTTAGAATTTGAAGTTCCATTTAGCACAGTATACTTTGACGCATATGGAGATTTAACTAAACTGGATCGGAGAGGAGTCAGCTAGGTTTTACTGCCCTTCGTCTTCTTCCCACAAGTTGCATACCTACTCGTCATCTGTAATGCTCCGTGTTGTCCACGCAATGCAATTCGTCACGCAGGAGAAATATACGTTTTCACAAACACGAACGTGTAGAGTTGCGATGAAGTACAACCACGCTGTGCCATCCAAATCTCCTCACGTATAGGACTCCGTGTGTGTGCTTCACACGCTCGAGCTCCGCTATACTTTAACGCTTTACATCCCTTTTTCTTTCATTTCTTTTACATAGATGCCAAAGAGTGGTTGATTGAAGACAACAGAGCACTTTCAAAGAGGGGAGCTGTACGTTCCTCCAAATATAGATGGCCTACCTCTACTGATCGTGAAGATGGCAAAACAGTCGTCAAGATTCCTTATGTGGTTCAAGTTGGTGTGTGACTTCCTTTTTTCCGTTAATGCTACAGTTGATTGAGTAAATGATCCCTTCGTTTTCTCGATTTGTTTATCAGTCTATACGCAAACATTCACATGCGGACGGAGAGGGTTAAGAGAAAATGCATCGGAATAATTGGAAAAAAATTTAATACATTTTGAGGCATTTGTCTCTCTAAGTAGCTTCTTAGTGATTATATTTTGTCTTTCCATCCATCAGTTCATTCTATAATAAATCACACGGTTTTACTCATATGATCTGTTTGCACAGATCTTGACTCCTAAGCGAAAACTGAGCTGCAGCGTGCCTTTCAAGATTTGCACCAAGCTACTTGCGTGAAGTTTCAGGCTCGACATGGAGAGAGCGATTATGTTAGTTTTCAGCCTGCAGTTGACTATCAGATGTAAGTACATGCCAGAAACGACAGGAAGGGGAGAGTGAATCATGGTCGGAGAGAGGGGAGGGTAGGGAAAGTCGGATGAAGCAAGGCTAGTTTCATCTCGAAAGGCAAGGAGAGATGTTGCTTTTTTCCTTGAGAATGCAGCTCTGGGGAAACTAATAGACTCGTGAAATTAAACCTTTTGCGATCGAGCAAATGTGAAAACAGCATCACTCAGAGTCAATGGGAACACACAATAAACATGCATATGTTTAGATGACCCGAACGGCCAACAAACTCGAGGCAGTACTCAAAGTTTGGTTATAAATTAAATTTTATTCGTTAAGAGGGTTGTTAACAAGTTTATTGGTAATTTTCAGATGCTTCTCCAAAATTGGGAAACACAAAGGTAAGCAAGAAGTTACTCTTGGAATAGGCTGCGAATACAAAGGAACAATTTTACACGAGATTGTTCATCTGCTGGGATTTTACCACGAACACAACAGAAAAGATCGAGATTCATACTTAAAAATTTATGAAGAAAATCTTGATCCAGGTAGGTCCCGTTCAGTCATGTTTTGTTTTTTTCGATATTTTCATCTAGGGAAAGCATCACAAATAACATACTTTAATCCAAGTAGACTCCGATCCAATATTCCACTTTGAAACTCATGCATAGTGTTTCATCAGGTTTTTGAGATCTTTTGAGAAAACAGATAAAAGGCACAAGCTAACCCTTTACGCTCTAACATCAGTATTCATATGCTACATGACTTTTCTTCATACATTTCTAGCGAGTAGGATTTGTTTAACAACTAGGAGCTTCTTCAGTTGGTGATCATTTCTTTTAACCTCGCGACCTTAATGTGTGGTTGAGGGGTAAACTTGTGAGGGGAAACTGGACGTTACTCACGCTTATGGGCCAAAATGTTGAGCGAAGTCACTGATTTTTAAGGTTACCTCGGAAAAAAAAAACTATTTATGGTACTTACAAATTCCTGAAAGAAATCTACTTGATTTAAAAGCTGTTAAGGATGAAGTCTTGAAGAAAACTGACATGGACAATTTGGGCTTTACTTACGACTTCAAGTCCATCATGCAATACAGCAAGACCGCATTCGCTAAGACATCGGGTCTGGTCACCATGGAGGCGAGGTCAGATCCTGATATGGAGCTTGGTAACGAAAACGCCTTTTCCGCGGCAGACATCATGAAGATTAATAAGTTCTACAACTGCCCACAGAAAAACGATTTGTGTAAGTTGAAAATGCACTAGAACTATTCCCCACTGAGCAATCTCAGTATGTTAGGTTGCAAATGTAAGCACAATTGAAAACTTCACCATTTTATTAGGACTTTTAATGGCCAAATTGAAAGTAATTTCTCCTTTTGCTCTCAAGATCAAAAAATAAAATTCCCTGCCCTGTCTGTCAGGTTATTCCTGAAACTTTCGTGCTAAGAATTTGAGGTGAAATCAAGCATAGATCTAATATGATATTTTTATCTCGTTACTCCTCTGCTTGGAAATGTATTGATACCATGAAAAGCAATTAATTCTCCTTAGCTCGCTCTCAGGAGTGAAAGGGTATAACATAAACATAATCGATTAACAGGTCCAACGGGCAGGAGTGGCGGGCACACCCATTTGACGTCATTTTGAAACTCTTTACGTCAATAAGTGTTCTCGATAAGACTATCTGTCGTTATCAAATCAAGAACAGCTCCATTCTAGTTTCTGTGTATTCGTAGTCGTGTATGTGGTCGGGAGTCGTAAAAAAAATAATCTGTTCAAAAGATACCCATTTCGTTTTGAAACCTTAACCCTTTAAAACCGTAACATGAATGTGCATAATCTCCATACTTCTCTCTATGCATTTCCTTTGGTACTGCTACGGAGAATTTGTTTAACAATCAAATCTTCTTGGATTGGCCATCATTTCTTTTATCATCATGATCCTACTGGATGATTCAGCAGTATCACTCTAGGGAGAAACTAACGGTTGGTCACTCTTAGGATTCGTAGTCGCGGTTACCATGCGTTTCATAACGTTAGCCTTTTCCCTCCCAAGATCTCATGATGAATTCTTATTACTGTCTACCATATAATTTTTTCAATATTAGTTTGGGGAATCTGGTATCAGATCAACTAATATTCCCCTAATTGATATTTTTCTTTTTTTTCTTGATATTGTATTTAATATAGTAAAGGAGAAATTCTGTCTTTGTCACTCATAAGAGTTAAAGGGTGAGTCAAGACATGTTACGAAATTAAAGGAAGTTAACTCGCTGGTCTTATGTTTTTTAGATAAAAACATGGAGGTGATGGTGCAAACTGGTGATGGATATTTAGATGGGACCGACGCCTTTTTGTACCTCGAGCTGATCGGTGACAAAAGGAGCTCTGGGGAGAGCAGTGTTGCTAAAGGCAGCTATTACGACGACTTTGAGAGGGATGCGTAAGTTTGAATGTAGTCGTTATTAAAAATAAGTAGACTCATCAGACGTGGGTCTTTACAATCAATGAACAATAAATGAAGATTATCTGTACAATCGAGTATGAAAATGTGATTATGTAAATTCAAAAATACATCTGTTCATAAAATTTTTTAAATCTTTCCGTCTTTATCCGGGGTAAACGGAACTCATGTCCCCGTTTTCCTAATGTTCTTGTCCGTTTCGGCGGCAGCAAATCGTGGAGTTGGTGGTTTTCCGTAGTCATAATCTTATTAAACAAAAGTTGATCTTTCTTCTCTATTAAAGCTGATATCCTGAGATCTGTCTTGGTGGTATAGCTATATCTCTAAGCTCGTTTGTAGAGGTTATCTATTCGAGCCATATACTTCCGACACTGAAGCAAGTCCCGAGACTTCTATGCCATATGCAAATAAACATAAGATGAGGGAATCAAATAGCTTGTTAAGTTGGTCTTGAGAATAACCATAAAATTTGCAGACTCTCAAAATGTAAAGTCGACTACTTACTTTAGCTATAAGTTTGTCAACATCAGTGGATGTCCCAGCGGCAAGGGTTTTCTTGAAATGTGATACCGAGCAACTTCAACCAGCTTTTACGTTCAATGCCATGTACCAGTGGTGGGTCAGGCTTGGTAGTCTTGCTGCGGATCAGCATTGCCCACGTTTTCAAAAGATTTAAGGTCATCAGTCTGTTACTATTAACTCAATGTTTCATATTGTTGACTTCGTTAGTTGTTGTGTCAATGCTGTGTCTGGTTACAGGGATGCTAATAGTAATATCATCTGCAAATTTCACCATAAGGTTCTTTCTAGGGTTGGCTAACTGTAGATCATTACTGCCGAACCGCTGAAAGAACGCTGAGTGGAGCTAAGAACCGTTCCTTGAGGCACGCCTCTATGAATGTCTAAGAACTCTGTAGGTAATCGGTCAACCACAACTTTCTGTTTTCTGAGACTCAGAAAGTCAAGAATCTAATTGATGACATAAGGATTTATGCCTGTTACTTTGAGTTTATCGAAGAGGATGTCGTGAGGTACAGTGTCGAATGCTTTACTTAAGTCAAATGACAGTACCCGTACGAAGTCTGTCTCATTGTCCAACCATTTCAGCCAATTGTGCTGTGACTTTAGGAGCGCCATTGTTGTGACTGGAGCCAGTCCCCGCGCGGCTGCCTTTCGCGCCCTTTTTGGTCATGTGACCAGTGTGTTTTTTCTTCTTTGCCTAGCGTGGTTGTTAGCCAACACTGGTCCGTAGATTTACGCTCGTTTAGCGTGCCTTCTTTTTAATTTAGCGATCCTTAAGGCTGGACAAAATTACGTCTTCAATTGTCTTCAGTTTGTCTTCAATTAAAAGCCAGTAAAACCACCAGCCTAATTTCACTGATTCCCTATTCTATGAAGTTACAATTGTATTGTTGGAACTTTCTCTGTAGGCAAATTAGTCAGGTCTTATTAGTGACTTGAAGGCCTCTGGTATCTTAAACCTGACTAGTAACTTCTCCAAGATTCTTAGTTATGATATTTGTAAAGGGAAATAGGTCATAGCTGGTTGCAGCTCGTTAAAAGTGATTCTTTCGGAATAGAGAGTCATATTGCGAGTTTCCAAGGCACGGATTTTTTGCTGCAACGAACCATTGAACAACCTCGTGATAACTGGAGCCAGGAGGTGGGTGAAATCTTTCCACATCCGATAAGGAAGCCCATCTGCACGAGTCCATGTGCGCTTCTGCTGTGTAAAGTGAATTTTTAAAGTGGACTCAGATACCCACGATACAATAAAGTCTAGTTATGTATATTTTGTAAGTCATATATATCATAGATTGATCAAAAAACTCTGTCGCTTATTGCCTTTACCAAATTTAAACCTGCATCCCTTAAAATAAGCGGTACTTTGAAGATTTCTTCTTTTTAGGATCTCTTCTATCTGAAAAATCTTTTTAAATTTGACAGGATGTTAATGAAAAGATTTGAAATTAATAAAAACTATTACAAAATTCTCGAACCTGATTGGTCATCGCCAGCCCGATTTTAAACACCAATAAGCCATTTTATTACGCGACTCGGGCAGTCAGAGGGCCAATAATTAAAACCAACCGATCAAAATGCTCTATTGCCGGTCAATATTCTCTAAGTATTGGACCGGGAACTGTCCCGAATGGTCCCGAATGATACCGCACTTGCAACCCTTTGTACTTCAGTCGTATAATAAATCTCTTATTAACCAAGCTTGCTCGGGACCGTACTGGAAGAATATCGGCCCTCGGTCTTTTTTGTACGGACCGAGCGCAGCTCGGTCCGTATTGTCAAGACCTCGGGCCGATATTCTCCCAGTACGGCCCTCGCGCTTGGTTATTAAGATATATGTACGCGTCATGCTTGTAGTTGGACAGTGTAATGAGACAGTGAAAGAGACAGTTAACACGTCACACCCGTGCAAGTAGAAAGAACTAACACGTCATGTGCGCGCGCTGTTGTCGTGCATTTCGCGGAGTGGTTAGTTCTAGTTGCTTATCACTTGAACGATTAGATTCTGCAGATTTTAGGGACAGAATTAAACGCTGGACTTCCCTGTGCAGTATATTAAAACTTAAAAACTTCACAATCCGCTTTCGTCTGATCGATCACAAGCAAAGACTTAAATAGTGATATGCAGAACCATGTAATTTTATTTATTTTTTTTTTTCATTAAAATGTTTTGGGGAAATGTTAACACCGACTGTTTTGTGAGATTTCAAAGAGTAACCCATCCTTTCGAAGATTGTCTTTGAACGCGATGAAAATTTTCCTAAGACGCTGATATTTTGAGTCTTTCATCTGAGCCGCTAACTAAGAGATAACAGAGGTTCATTCTTATTTTGCCCACCTCTTGATGATCAATTTGGGGAATTTGGAGTTGGGGCTAAACGCATATTTGCATATTTTTGTCTAAAAGGAAAAAAGTTATCTTTGGGATAACTAGAGCAACAGCTGTTTATCGACCAGGCCCCGGTTGTTCGAAGGATGGATAACGCTATACACTGGATAAATCTCTATCCGGTGGATAGCGCAGTACGTTTTGGTAACACTTATCCGCTGGATAGCGATTTATCCGTTGGATAGCGTTATCCGCCCTTTGAACAACCGGAGCCAGGTTTTTTATAATTTCACGTCTATGACCAGGTTACTAAGCTACTTTCAAAATGGCGGTGTCCATAATAGGACTCTTTTGGCATATTTAGGTACAACTTTCGAAAAGTTAGGTTACCCTTTGGAATATTCAAACGAAGTTGGTGCCGAATCCATAACTAAACGTTTTAATGGAGGAGAAGACCCAAAATATCTGAAATTAGATCGTCATGACAGTGACAGTGAATCTGATTCACTGAAGGTGTCTGAGGAACTACACAGGCTAGTGTGAGGACTGATTGTTAGTTTTTCGATTTTTTTTTTTTCAGAAAAGAGAACTACTATGTAGCATTTAAAGACGTGGGCACTATTCGCCAGCTAAAGGTCAGATTGCAAAAAAACCCTAATGGAAGTTATTTTGACGGATGGACTTTTTCAAAGGTAAGATTTACCGTAACAACTGTGCACTTGACCCATCGCTCTAGACTAATATGAAAGAACTAAATTTCACGAAGCATACTCGAAGAGAATACTGCGTAATTGCACTAATTGTTAGCGCGTTTGTCTCAGAATCGAGACTTTTACGCATGAAAAATTACATTTCTTTATGAAGTTTTAGCGAATCTTGATGTTAAAATCGAAAGGAAACGTAAATGTATTTAGAAGTGAGTGCTCTTTTGGGGAACAGTCAGGAGGTTCCAGGCCTCTCACGCTAAAAGACAAAAACCTCGGTCCACTGGGCCGGTTACATTGATACTTTTTCGCGCATGTTTTCCTAGTTTCCCTCAAAGAAGCTAACGGCTCAAAAGTGAACCTGATAGCCGTATCTTTTAGCTACGTTTCTTCAGTTTCTAATGTTTTAAATGGAAGGTTCAGAGCCAAATAAAGCGCTATTGAAACTGCATCACAACCCTTGATAACGTGACGAAAATGGTCATAAAATGTCGACTTCCGTTTAGGCTTTAACCCTTATCACGTTCTTGTCTATTTCTAATAAAATGGGGTTGTAAATACCTTGCATTGCTTCACAAGTACAGTGAACGGGGTGAAGCCTCTTCTAGGAAGCTAGGTCACCACTGGTGTATCTTGGAAACTTTTTTTATCTCCTCTAGTTGCAATCGTAGTAAATCTTTGCCCTCCAAAACCACCCGTTCTTTTTTCGTTTATTCTTACCACCAAATCGTTTGTATACGATGGTAAACGATCACAAGGTTTTCATGTATTTAACGAACCCACGAAAAAAAAGCTAAACGTGATCTAAAGTAGCTTATCGTAGCACTTATCATAAGAATGTTTTATTCTTCTGTAGATCACCGTCAAAGACGGAGACAAGACTTACACTTTCGGCGAAAAAAATGTTTATCCAAGCCAGACTGTTACAATAAATGCCTCCTAAACAAAATATTCCAGGCATGTATTGGTTTAATTTCATCTTTCAGTTGATTTTGATTAACAAAATGGAGGTTAGATATGAATGCAGATGTGTAATGAGGTCAGGAAGCACTGTAAAAGAAATTAAACTGCACCCAATGAACTTTCATGACGTTTGCTGTCTTGTCGCAGAAAGTTTCAGGTCACGGTTCCTTGAATTTAAGTGAAATCTGAAGAAACGTCACTGTAAGGACGACGCATCGTAAGTTCGATGAATCTATCTATTTCTTATCAAAATTTATTGAATACCGGATACCCAGGCAACTCCGTTTCGAGATTGTTGCGTGCACTTGTCCTTTTTCCAACAACCTTTTTCGAAACAGCTGTATACTAACAGTGACTAGCGTTGGTGTTGGCACTTTTTTTTCGCAGAGCGGCGACCAAGCAACAACTGTATGCAAGGACGATCAGTCCGGCAACCTCTCATTTGATTTGCTCTTTTATTAAAATAGGTTCGCTGTCTGAATTTTTAAGTCACTGATTTGAACAAAGTCAGTTTCATTCTTGGTGACAAACCCGTAACGAAACGGCTACTATCAATAATATTTTTCGAACTGCATCTGTTGATACTAAAGAAAGTGAGCAATTGTTGCTCGTATCTCACCGAGATAACATCTTGAATAATGAGGACAGAAGTGAATTGTCTGCGCCAATGACCTTATCTAACTTTTTTTTGTTGTGCAAAACTGCGGACTTCCATCTCACGACCATTTTCCTAGAGTTTGTCAAGTCCTTTCCCCCTATGGCGCCAAGTATCGCGAGGGTATAACTGGCGTGACACCTGCAGTGCAGGTTTGAGGTTGCACTATTTTGTCATGTGATAATAAAACTTTGCAAAGCATTATCAAAAGGTTTACCGACAACAAAAATTTGAATAAGGGTCAGCAAAATCGACCCTTCAACAAATAAAATCGATGTTAATCTTATGTACAAAAGACGAGAGAGTGCAAGAAAACAAGTACAGCAGAAACGCAAAATTGCTATGTTGCGTGATCTGCTGTATGTCACGAATTGCGCTTCGACCAAAAGAAAAATCACGCAATAACAAAGTCACTCACATGACGCCATTAGTCAGAAGTCAAAATGTTTCTTCAATCTGAAGATATAAATTATCATCGAAGTTCATTTCCTTAATTTCGTAAAAAACTTTTCATTTGCAGTCTCTTCGTGAAAGAAATAAGCAACACAAAAAAATCTTCCACGGTTACTGTCCAAAGTTGAAGGTACTCGGCACAGCCATGTTGGTGAACATGTACCCTCCTTGCTGCTCGATTCGCCTGGATTCTGTTGGATAGAATATAGTAGAGTGTCTTACCCAAGAACTAAATACAGAGACGGTGGCTCAGGTTGGAATTAAGAGTGGTGCACTGGATTTCAGGTCAAATAGTTCGCGCTGACTACAGTTCAATAAATCACTCAGCGATGATAAATTAATCGACGGATCATTAATCAGCGAAATCATTAGACCAAACAGTTCACGACAACAACTGACCGACAAACAAAACAATTATGTTACTATATGAAAATTTAAAACGACTTGCAGACCTTAAATAGCCCGCAAACTTTACGTTGCGCTACAGACGGCGTTTCTCCACCCGCGAAAAGATTGGAGACGAGTAGCGAAGAGGTTTTTGGGGGACACTGACCCCTTCCCGACCTCTCGCGGGCTCACGTTGCTTAAGGCCTCAAACCTACCCGCGGGCAAATAAACGCTCGTCCCGAAGACGCTTGTAATGAGGGCCTGCCCGCGAGCTCATCTTCAAAATGAATTGATGACTGACGGGTGATGAACTAACTGACAGATCAGCTGACTGGCTGAATAACTTACCGAACGACAGACCGATTGACCGACTGACTGACCCACTGACTGAACATCTAATTGGCTGGCTTACAGACTGACGAATGACCGCCAAACTGACTTAAAGATGATTGACCCAAAAGTTACGTAAGACTGACACAAGTTAACAGCTAAATTTCAGCTTTTCATCTTTTCTTATTGTTCTCTACTGTTTCACTCTGTTTTGCTGGTCGTGGAGTTGGCACAGTTCTCACCTAGTGATGCTCTCTTCTGTTCAGCCAGCACAAGCACTTCCTGTAATGAATTGCCCTGTTCTTCTGTTAACACGCTTGTCAAAGCGGAATACCATTCTGGGTCATTTGTCTGAAGGGCTAGAAAACGAAAAAAAATCACTTTAAACCACACAAAGCATTTCCTTTCAATTGGAGAAGACCTTAATGGAGAAGCTAAAAGAAAAAACAGGTTTCACCAAAATAAAAGAAAAAGATCGCGGAGAGAGACGATTGACATGAGCCGCGGAGAAGGAAGGCACCGGAATTATTATTCTCCAAAAAGTGCATTCGAGAACAGTAGTATTGCGGTAAAACTAAGTTCTGAAAAAAGAAATAAAGAAGCCATCCTATGAGGGCTTACAAACGCTTAACCATCCTAAAATAAAATCTTACGAGCTGACTTAATTAATCATTCCTTCGAAAGCTTTCCATCCTCCTGACCGCCGGTATTATTGTATTCCAATGAAGTGATAAACGAAACACTTCTTAAATCTTCTATTACGTTCGGCGACGCGAAAGAAACCCAAGAAAAAGTACATGACGCCAACCCTGTGCTGTCGTGCTTATCATTTAAACATGGAACTGCATTTTCAATTACCTTGGAGTGAATTCGTAAAGGCAATGTATTCATCGGTTTCTTCGTTATCCACAGAAGTGGTAAAATTTTCCAGAGCTGTCTCTTCATCCTCCACATCTTCTTCATCATCTAAATGGTCGGCGGCCTGCGGGAAGACAAAATACGATTTCAAGAGCTTAGCACACTGGGTTCCTAAGATAATAGATGGTTCTCTCTGTTAAAGTTGTTTTAATTCAACAAGGGGTTGTTCACATTAATTTACAAATTACTTTTGGGTGAATGGTTCGTAAAGTCTCACACTCCTAAAAGTCAACATGGCCTTGTACAGGACTTTTTCAAAGCTAAAGACCAAAATTTAGTTTGGTTAGATAATAAAGTTTTCTGGTCATTAAAGTTCTGCGCTTCACTCGCGAAGGTCGGAAATTAAACACTTCGAAAGATGGATAGCAAGCATGCGAAGGCGAAAAAAAAAGCCAAATGACTCTCCTTTTTATTATATTTCCTTCTTATTATATGCATGCATTAACAATTATGGCAGATTTGACGAAAGTTCGTCAAAATCGTCAAATCCGCCTCACTGATTTCGCTTTGACGAATTTCATTAAAATTCGTGAAAATCGTCAATTCCGCTAAGCTGTAGCCAAACTGAAAAGGCCTAGACAGCGCATTCTTTTCAACCGACCAACCTAAAGCACTAATATTTCGGAACACTGTGATGGTGTACTTGTTTATAGTTTAAAGGAACATACATCGGATGTACGCAATGTTGTTGTCCTATTCATGCAGGCGATAACCGGTAGAATGTACAGCTTGCAGTATCTCCTGTAGCCGCATAATATCACTTGGAAATCTTGAAAATTCAGCTGTGGTTAAAGGATTGCTGTACTGGTCTAAAAATTTATTCCACCTGTCGTTTGTATAAGAAGGGAGAAGAGTGTATATGTATACCTTTTTCGCCAGATTTTCAATATACTGAACGTCATCTTCGTTAATTTCATCCTCATCACTGGCTAGTTCATCTGAGGAAAAGGACAGAACAAAAATGTGTCAAAGCTCCCACAAATGGAGCAAATATAGTCGTCTGTACTACAATGTTACAAGTTTGTTTGCCTTGATTTCTCCGGCATACAAAATCAATTGCTGAAAAACGCAAATATTGAAGAACTGAAGACTTCAGTTAAAACAGACAGGTTCAACACTGACAGGGTTTGGGGGATACTGTCTTGAGATTACATTTGATTTTCAAAGCCAGCATTTTAAAACTAAAAGGCCAAAAGACTTAAAAAAGGAGCATTTAGATCTAGTGTGCGTAAGAGCAGAGTACGAAGTGCGTAAAATATCAAAAATTCCACCTAAGGGGAGAAAAACTTAGCGGTCCCTAACAAATGGCAGTCTGAATTTGAGAGAGAAAAATTAAATTGAGGCAAAGTAATGAATTAAAAGTGGGACCTTAACACTTAAAGTCCAGAATCTTAAAAAATTAAGCCACGACGCCTGCGCTGTCAATGAGCGAAATGAGATAAAGAACAAGACAAAAAGGAAAATGGCGTCACTACCGAGGCTCACCTTCATCAGATTCCCCTTCATGGTCATCTTCATTCTCACCGTCGCCTTCACCTCGATCTAAAACAATCAAATAAAAAATGAAAAAAAGTTCATTAGTTTAAGAATGATTGGTATAACGAAGAAAACAAATGAATAAAGGGGGTAAGTCTCTGGAGAAACTATGGCGCTGTATTGGTGGGGAGTGATTACAAGATAATTTGGTTTTAGCAGCTGAGTTGATAATTCGGATACAATGAAATATATGAAGTTCATATATTTTGAACTGCGGTATTAGATACGTATGATGCACGATCCTCGCAGACCTTTTTAGGTCTGATTTTCGCTATTGCTTAAATAGCGCTATCTACTGCGAGGATCGTGCATCATTCATATGAGTTGATAATGTAAACTGGCTACTGCAAAATATTCCTACTGCAAACGTTTCAAGCCTTTGCCATGCGTCAAGGTGAATGACGAAGGGCTAACGCTCGAGACGTCAGCTTTAGAAATTCTCTTCGGTGGTCAACTGACATTACAAGCACGGTTGATAAAACCAAATTGATTTAAAGAAGAAACCGGCCGCAATAGCAGGCTTTGATCGCTGTTCAAGTTCTGAATAAAGGTACCTTAAGGGGTTACCTTTGGAAAAAATTGTGTTCTTAACAACCAAACAACGGTTGTTAAGGACACCAGCGATAAATATCTACATAAAAGTCAACACTTTACTAAGTGGAAATCGCCCATACTTTCATACGCTCTTTTGAGTCCTTGGAATAATACTAGCAAGGCCGGGAGAATCTGGGGCGAGCACTGAAGGAGAGCCTGTGGTCTCATCGGTTTTGGAAGATCCATGAGTGCACAGAAACCCAACACGAACATCTTGCGATCATGAATACTGCAACAAAAAAATAGTAAGCAGAGTTCACTATTAACAGCTGGGCAAATCAAGGACATAAATCTTCACTATTCCTTAGTCTAAGATCTAATGAATTTTCATAATTATAATGTTAGCGACGACTGATCCCCCCCCCTTCAGCTCCACCCTGAAAACCATGTGATCCCCAAGTGCTAGCTCGTGATTGTGATCGAAATGACTAAAAAAGAAATCCAAATCAAAACTAACGAAGTCATCTTGAAAAATAGCGCCATATAACAAGTTCTAAATTTTCTGAAAATGTTTACAGTACCAAAATCAAAATATGTTATCTCCGCTTACCCGAAAAAACAGTCGTAATCACTAACCCAATGACTAAAAAACTGCGCCGTCACAGTTTCGTTAGTGTTTGGAAACTGGAGTTTGTCCAGAATACTTAACAGGAGAGGGGCATTGTATATTAGCCCTGCAATAGCCTGGAATCACAAAACACATGCATTCAGTAAGATCTGAAAATTTGAAATGAAGCTATGGCTAATTAAGTGGAAGGCCAGCAAAAATACAAAGAAGCCGGCATGGTTACAACGAATTTGTCACAACGTGCTTCACTTTTTTTATAGGTTTTCTCTTCCTTAATTCTCTAACTTTGCAAAAAACTCAACCGCAAAGACTTTGAGAGACTTGGAACGTAAATTCAACTCTTTGATGGATCGATACCAAAAATATTCCACTGAGATGCAAAAAGAAAGCTAAATGCCTCAAGTCTCTGAGAAATAAACAACTAGAAAAAGTTTCCTGTTGTTGTGACCGTCCTTACCACTTGTAAGCACATAGTTCTTAATTCACTCTCCTTCACCTCCCTCGTCAATCTCTCCAGTGCTGCTTCAATGTAAAATGGAAGCCACTAAAAGAACAAGGAAATCTGTTAAAATGAAATTTACCGCTTATCATATAATTGAAATTTACCGCTTATCATATAATTGTCTTTAGAGCATTAGCTCTAGCTGGCAAAAAAAAAAAAAAAATTACAGCTTGCTACAAAAACACTTAAGTTGTCGAACTGGAGACTTTCGTTGCAAATTCAGTTGCCAAAATATTCCCCTACTCGCCATGGCGACCAAATCGATCATGGGGCGAGCGCTGGATAATTATAATTTTATTTCATAACCATTCAGTAACGATACCTGGTCCATCAGTCCATGGCATTGAAGTATTGTCACTTCCAACAGCTTTGCTGCATTGCACTGCTGATCTTCTGTTGCTGACGAATCTGTTAACATCTGATGATGAATGAAAAGTATCCTGAGAGTTCAAAGCCAGTAAACTTTACAGGCCTTTTCATTGATCATTTATTGTACATGTAGAGGTAACATTTCCAATTCAATAAGGACGATATTGTGGAAAATCTCTTTGGTTTTTTAAATGTCAAATTTCAATTTTCCTCGTCCTTTCCCTCCTTTGTGATATTCTTGTATTCACGCGTAGCGTACGTGATTTAACAGATTAACCAATCACGTCAAAGAACACTAACCTTGACATTGGAAACTGACGTGGACATTTCGCGCGTATCTTGGTTGTTTTTTTTCGGAGTTAGTTTAGTTGTTATTTTTGATTTTTCGTTCACGCCAGTTTGTTATCCCTCAGCTTGGAATTTTAAGAAGTTTTTGGACTTTTTTTACTTAAGCCTAATGTTGTTGTTATTTTAACAAGTTAACACATATTTCATACGGAGTTTGGACTCTCGCCTCCTCCGTTATTGGATTTTTTACAAATATCATCGATATGTTCATACAGCATACCTTTTTACACATGTTATAGATTATCTCAAGGTTCTTTGGATTTGCTAAAAAGGCAGGTGTGTCCACTGTGATGTAGTTGTGTAAACATGGCATCATTTCTGGGAATGGCAGAAATTTATACAGTAAGAGCTTAATGAGTAAGTAAATGATACATTTAGATGAGCAAAAAGACCTGCAGATGAATTTCTGCGAGGTGAAAACCTCAAATAGCATGTAATTCTTCAGAGAACACTGTGTAAAGTTCCCTTAAAATGTACTTCAAGGTGGAAATTAAGGATACATGTACCTTAGGCAATCCTTTCTCCACATGTCATGCACTCCCAAGTCATTGACGGATTACATTACGTAAATTATGACGCCATACCTGCAAAGTAGTCGAAGGCATCTCTCTGGAAAGCCTCGTACACCATGTAATACACCGCCCACATGGACTGCGAGATCTCAAAACATGTACAGGTGCAGATAATGGAAAGAATGTCTTCATAAAATTCTGCACAGAAATACAGTAACAGTATTACAGAGTGAAAAAATCAAATGTACTTGGCCAGAAAACATATCTACTCCTTATCTACTGCTTACCCATTACAGACAGCTCGAGAACCTTGGCTATTAAAGAAATTACAACTTGTTCCAATTGAAGTACAATCTGAAAAATGATAACATTGTGTTAAGAGAATCTACATTTCAGTCGATCAATAATGATCATTAACAAAGGACTATTGCTCTAAAGTAGCAGCTGCCTAGGTATCTAAAACAAAGTGCACCAAATCAGTGACAATGAACTCATCTTACAGCTTTAGATCCTTCCATCACGTTTAACATTGTTTCAAGCGTGTTCACAATTCCCATGGCAGTAACAGCTTTCTCATCACTATCTTCCCCATCTAACAGTTGAACAAAAGTGGTTGCCTGTAGAAAGAAAACATCTTCATCACAAAATATCACAATTATGGCACAGACGAAATCAACACTTAAATAGTATAATTTTCTAAGATTAAATTTCATGGCACATAGTCTAATTTGAAAGTTAAAAAAGATGTTTTACAAGCCCCCCCCCCCCGAAAAATAACAAAGAGGGAAAACTTTTTTCATCAACTTACTACATCACATCTTATCTTACCAGATCTCTAGCAATATCTATTGCAATGCTTGCAACTTGTTCCTGGTGTCCATACGTTGAGATAAGTTTCTGCATCACCCCAGTCAAATCGTCCTTCTCCGTTTCCCGTATAACTTTCAGCAGCTCTAGAGAAAGAACCAAAATTTTATTACACAGAAGGTTGCATAGTTAACCAGAGGGGTCAAAATTAAATGAACACATCACATGAAAGCCCTTGTGACAAAACATTCATAATCAGTTCTTCAAATTATTATTACACAGAAGGTTGCATAGTTAACCAGAGGGGACAAAATTAAATGAACACATCACATGAAAGCCCTTGTGACAAAACATTCATAATCAGTTCTTCAAATTATCTTTAATAGGGTCAAGGCCAATAAACCAAAATCTCCCTGTGCTTAAATGGCACGACGCAGCTTATGGTAAGTGTACTCTACCAATGTAGGATGATAGCCTTCATTGGTTATCTGGACACCATTACCAAGCAAGAAACTCAAAGAACTATACATTGCCAAAGCATAGAACTGAAAGATTACATAGTAGGTTTTCTTTCCAAGTACAATTTTTCCAAAAAAATCAGTAGTATATTACACTTTACACGCAGTAATTTAATTCTAATTTAACATGTTTATAAATTTTAGTTTTAAAATTGCTTGATGCACAAAATTGTAATTCATGAATATGTGAGAACATTGACATTGAACACTATCTATTTGTTTATTTTATTCGTGAAATTGCGCTGAAAATTAGATAAAAAGAATACTCACGTAGGATGATTGGACGCACATGTGGCTCAATATATTTTTTAGCTGCAAAATAAAAATGAAAAATCTTCAAACCTGTGTTATTATATTGCTGTTGTTCTGTAGCTACTGGTAGAGCATTTGACTGATGGAAGGTAATGGATTAAAAATTATTGACTACTACTCTTCTTGCTCTGCTCCATTGACAAAGTAAAAGGTTTTTAAACTTCCCTTTTAATGGTGCTTTCCTGTTGCATAATGATATTGCAAATTCTGTTACTTTCTGGCATAATTGACCAAACTACTCACATCCTTCCTGTTTCTCTATGAGAAACTGTAAAGCAATGGCTGCCTCCACAATGACAGGGGCATCAGTGTCTTCAGTTAAACAGATACGGGCAGAATTTACAGCTGTGGCAAGGTTTCTTTCATCTTTGAAGGTTATGTCGCCAAAACTGTGCAAGACCCAGCATGCCTAAAGACATGTCAATACATTAGAAGTAAAATACATGCCGTTCAATAGAAGAATCAGAGGGTAAGATGCAAATAATCTCTACTTTTTCATTTTCTTCTTGGCTTTAATCTTCCCAATGTTTGCACGCTACCTTGCAAAATAATTGCAAAACATTGCTCTGCAAACTTCTTCATTTTCTACTACTACCAGCAATACTGCTGCAGTTCAATTCTTTTTCAATGAAATTTTTTTTTTCTTTTCAATGAAATTTTTCAGAAAGGCAAACTTCTGCTAATAAACCTTTGCTTTTGTTTATCACCCTGAGTTTTAAGAAGACACTAACAAGAAAATGTAATCGTTTGTTTTTTTCTGGCAACAAAATGAAGCAAATAACAGGAAGAAGCAAATAACAGGAAAATTTCAGAGCAATGCTTTACAGTTTCATTAGTAGGTGGGTAAAGTTAGGGAGATCTGAGAAATGTTTTGATTTCATCATGAAAGACCAACTATTTTTTTTTACAAAATGTACCATCTAACATTCAGCAACATTATGTTCTTTATTGTTTCTATCAGGAAACCAAATATTCAAATGGATAAATTTTGCTCCTTATCTGAAATAAATGAAACGTCAGTTACTTCACGGACAAACAAAATAATCAATGAAATAAACTGTTTGTACCCTGGCTCGGAGGTATCCTAATGAATTTTTAAACTCAGGATATACATGCTGCACTAGCATATTTTCCAGCTCTACTTTGTACATTTTTCTCTGTAAGAAGAGGACATAACAAAATGAAATAAAAAAAAAAAAAAAAACACTTGAAAAAAAAACATGATGATAACTGATTCAAAAGAATGTTAATCATAAGGATTCCTACCTTTCTTTACTATGTACCTAATAACTAAGTGGGGGGGTACCTAATAACTAAGTGGGGGGTAC